TGCAAAGATATTTACACTGCTAGGGTATTTACAATTTAGAGGGGATTTATTGCTCTAGAGATGGCTCAGGGCGGTGCTGGGGGAGTGGAAAAAAAGTCTACTGTGGGGATATTTGTTTGCTTAAGATAAGGGAGTCCCATGGTGGGTTATTTTCCCTGTACTAGCCTGTCTATTCATGAAGTTTTTGGAACAATTTTAGTATTATTAGATTTGCATTACAACTCTTTATTTTCTGTAAGTTGAAGTTGTCCTATCAAATTTGATGGTTTGGTTCAGATGGTGACCACCAGATGGCTCTACTGAAACATGTGCTCTCTTCTCAATTAGGTTACAGCCTGTGTTGTAACAGGTGCATTTTGTTGCCTTAAAAAAAATTTTTTTTTGAGGCAGAGTCTGCTGTGCAGCCCAGGAGTGCTGAGATTCACAGGTGTATACCACCACACCTGGCTCTTGTAAATGGTTGTATGTTTTGTTTTGGTGGTACTGGGGTTTAAACTCCTCAGGGCTTCATGATTGCTGGGTGATCTACCGTTTGAGACACTCCACTAGCCTTTTGTGTGTGTGTTGGATATTTTCAAGATAGGGTCTCATGAATTATTTGCCCATGCTGGCTTTGAACCTCGATCCTCCTGATCTCTTCTTCCTGAGTAGCTAGGATTACAGGCATGTGCCACCAGAGCGCAGCTTTTTTTTTTTCTTTTTAAGACAGAGTCTTCGACTGGCCTGGGCCTCAACTTTTCAAGTCTTGACATTGCAGGTGTGTCCCATCACACCTGACTTTAGAGTCATAGATTTTTATTTATTCAGTATTTATAATCAATTGCAATAATTTTCCTTTTGATGCTAAAATTGCCCCTAATTTGGCCAGTGGGAGATCCTTCAAGCTAGCTCCTATAACTTTAAAATTTATTTTGAGAGGCTGAATATACTAAGGAACAATGACCAGACTATATATTGTATAAAAATAAAATTCTAACCCATAACTTGTAACTGGCCTAAGAAACCAAACCCTTACCAATAACCAACCCCAGAATTCAACCAGCTATGAAGTCAGACTTGTAGGAAGTCAGACTGTTATCTCTATCCAGGAAGCTAAACAACAACATCTGTAACAGTCAGCTCAAAATGGACCTGACTTGATTAAAAACTAACAGCTTTCCTAATTTTGTTCTTGCTTTCAACTTAGGACCAGAGAAAGCCAAATACACTCTTGTAAGACAGCGTGTTGGATGCTGTGCTTCCAATTAACCCAGCCCCAGCTTCCCTGGGTCCTCAGCCTCCAATCAGGTACAGATGGAAAGGCTTCCCCTCCTCTGTCCCTAAGCATCTGCCAGAACACAAGTGTCAGTGGCTGACTTCCTTGCTATGGCAAGCTCAATAGATAGCTTTTCTCATTTGGTTTGTTGTGGTTTCATTCCAATTTTTATTGAAGTATAATTTAAATGCAATAAAACACATCCAGTTTAGTGCTGGCTCCTGTGTAGACTTGGGTAACCATGACACAGAGCCTGTTACCCTCCAAAGTTCTCCTATGTTCCTTTCAATTGATTCCTCCTCACTTCCCTTCCTAGCCAACTACTGATCTGAAATCTATCACCATGGATTAGCTTTGCCTTTTCTTCTAAATCCTGTTGACATGGCTTCCCCTAACCTAAGAACTTCATTTGCATTCAGGCACAACAAAATACCTGATTTGACAACAAAATATATGATTCGTGTCCCTCTGGAACTTGTATCAGCTAATTTGCCAAAGAGGTCTGAATCTTGCATGACTGGGGTTTGAACTCAGGGCCTTGTGCCTGCTACCACTTAAGCCACACCCCCCAGCCATCTTTTTAGCAGGAAATGGAATACAGAAGCCAAGATCTAGGTTGGGCACCAGTGGCTCATGCCTAGCTATTCAGGAGGCAGAGATCAGGAGGATCACAGTTTGAAGGCAGCCTGGGCAAATAGTTTGAGAGACCCTATATCCAAAATACCCAACACAAAACAAGGCTGTCAGAAAGGTTCAAATGGTAGTGTCTGTCTAGCAAGAGTGAGGCCCTAAGGTCAAACCCCAGAACCACCAAAAACAAAAAACAAGATCTAGGTGCCATGTGTTCCCAGGTCCCATATAGGGACCAAGCATCCTGCTTTGCCTGGGAGTTTTAACATAGAAGCCAGTTATCATGGGAAGCCCTCTCGGTTTCTGGCAAGCAGGGACACTTGGTCACCCTTGCTTCCACATCCTTTCAGTGCACAGAACCAGGTCATTTAAAAAAGTTTTTTTAAAGTAAGCATATATTAATTGTACAAATAGGCTTCATTATGACTTATGCATGTACATAACGTAATTTGATCATACCCCCCCATTACCCTCTCTTTTTTTCCTCTCTTCCAGAACAGTTATCTTTAAAATCGTGTTCAAATTGGGATTTCAAATTTAAACTTGATACTAGTTTTTTTTTTTGGTGGGACTGAGGTTTGAACTCAGGGCTTCATGCTTGAAAAGCAGGCATTCTATGGCTTAAGTATGGATCACACGTCTGACCCATTTTGCTCTGGTTATTTTGGAGATGCTCTTAGGAACTGTTTGCCTGGGCTGGCCTTGAACCTCCATCCTCCCAATCTCAGCCTCCTGAGTAGCTAGAATTACAGGCATGAGCCACCAGACCTGGCTTGATATTACTTTTTTTCTCCCCCCCTTGAACTTTTTGTTCTATTTGTATCTCATTTTCTCTCACACTGAGTCTTTGTACACAGTAACATTAAAACACTTGTGTTGTGCTACAATGTACATAATTTCAAAACCATAGCAACAATATTACATTAGAAACCACTGAATAAAAAGAAGATAATTTGGCACTTCTTTTTCATCAATAGAATATATCCCTTCACAGATACACTAACAGAATGAGTTGTCCAAAAGCCCTAGGGGATAATTCTTTCCTCGATGTTACTAATTTGAGTTAGAGTTAGGTTGATTTGTTTCAATTTTCTTTCAACTTCAGGATTTAATTTCTTTTTGTTGTTGTTTACATTTTCGAAATGTAAAACTTTGAAAGTCTAAGAGAAGTCTTTTATCTCTGTTATCTAATTCTTCCCCACCATCCTCTATAGGTAGCTATTAGGTTTCCTTCTACTTCTGTCCATGTGTATGTATATCTATTTCTGCACCTTGCTTTTTTTTTGGTGGCACTGGGGCTTGAACTCAGGGCCTACACCTTGAGCCACTCCACCAGCCCTTTTTTGTTAGGGTGTTTTTTTTTTTTTTCTCGAAACAGTGTCTTGAACTATTTACCTGGGCTGGGTTCGAATTGAATCCTTCTGTTCTTTGCCTCCTGAATAGCTAGAATTACAAGCGTGAGCCACCAGTGCCACCTGGGTTTATTCACTTACTATAACCTCAGATTCATCTCAAAGCAACACATGACTATTTTCTCACTCCTTTCCATGGTTGCACTGTATTCCATTGTGTGGATGTACCATAGCCAATAGTTCCCTGCTAATGGACATTTGGGTTATTTCTAAACTTTTGCTATGACACATAGCACTGCAGTGAATACCCTTGTCTACATATGTTCCATTTGTGGAGGTACTTCTTAATAAAGCTAGGGTTAAAAGTGAAATTGCAAGATACAAGGGAAAACAACATAATTCTGTTATTCCATTCTCACCAGGAAATGAAATCTCAATGTGCATTTCCATTATAAGTGAGGTTGAATATACTTTTATGTTTAAGGACACTGCTTTTTTTCTTTTTTCCTTTTGAGAATCATCTGTTCATATCTTTTCCATCCCAGTTTTCGATAGTTTCTGTGATATAAATTGCAAATATTTTCTCCAGACTGATTGGGATTATACATGACTACTTTGATCATCTGGGTTATTCTTTAATCTTATGAATCACTTTCCTTCAGGACGCCTTCTTTGAAGAAAAACAGTTCTGGTAAAGCTTGCTAAGTGGACCAATCTTATGAACCACCTGCCTCCCCTAGGAAGCGTGAAGACCGGCTTCAGGTCTTCCAGGTAACAAAGTCCTTCTTGCCCAGTAATCGAGATGACTCAAAGTCTTGCTTAAGGGAGTACATCGACTTACAGAACTTATTTTATTGGGTTCATAAAGCCTCACGGGCTTCGCCTTCCCCCTTGTTTTGCAAGGTGCTGCCGGGACGGCGGGCTCCAGCACAAGCTCCCTCGGTGAGAGAACAATAGCTCCTCGGCTTCGCCTCGAGAGACGTCAAGGCGGGACGGACCGGTCGTCCAGGGGCCGCACGCGCGGCTGCGAGGACAGCAGCGGCGTCCGACGTTCTGGAAACGCGCAAGGTGAGGTCCGCCGGGGCGTGAAGGAGCAGGGCTCCCGCCCACCGCCCGCTCCCGAGGCTGCACCTGGCCGTCCGCGCGCGGAGGCATCCCGGACGGAATCCTCCCTCCGAGAGGCCAATCGCGCGCCGCGTTGCCCAGATCCCTCCGCCCAGGCCGCGCCGTAGGTCGCCGCGGCGAGCGCAGGCACCGGCGGCGGCGTCGGCGGCCGTCCCGTGATGCCTCGCGCTGACCTCCGACCTCGCCCGCCCGTCCCCTCGCTTCGGCCGCTTGCTTCCCCACCCCCTCCGAGCCTGCGGCTGCGGGGCGCGCGCCAGAGACCGGGGACGGACCCCGGCGCGCCACAGGGGTGCAGCTGCTCCACTACGCGTCGAGGTCCCGATCGGGCTAAGCCTGCGGCCGGCCTCCCCTCGCCTTTCGTGCCCCGGCGGGGCCTAGCCGCGGGCGGGTGACTGAGGCCGCGCCCGAGAGGCGACTTGTCGGTGAGTGGGCCGGACGGTCATGGCGGGAGGAGGCGGTGGCGCGTCCGGATCGGCGGCGGGGCGGGGCGGGGCGGAGCGGAGCCGGCGGCGGGGCGGGGCCGGGCGGCGGGGCCTGGTTTCCTCCCTCAGCGCCATTTTGTGGCAGCGAGACCCGCAAATAAAGGGGAGCGCCGGGGTTGCGGCGGGAGGAGCGTGGCGGGGCCGGCGGCGGCCTGGGCGGCGGCGCGGCCTCGGCCTATGTGACTGGCGGCGTCCGCGCGGCCTCCGTCGGGAGAGGTAGGTGCGGCCGGCGGCGGGAGCGCCGCGGGGCCTGCGGGGCCTGGGACTGGAGCGCGGCCGCCCCAGCCCGGGAGGCGGCGCGCAGGGCCCGAAGGGCGGCCGGGCCCCGGGCCGCGCCTGCTCCCGCTCCCGCTCCCGCCCCCGCCCGTGGCGCTGCCGCTTGCAGCCTGCGGGGACACTTCGGTCCTGAGACCGTCGCGCCCGGGACCCGCGGCCGCGCTCGTCCTTTCCCCGCCTCTGTGCCCCCTCCGGCCTCCCTGGCTGGCCCGGGAGCCGGCGGTGCAGACGAGTTCTGCAGGGGGAAACGCAGGGTTCGTTTACCCGACCTCACGTCACGCAGGGGCTTGTTACTGCGTTCTCTGGCGGACTTCCATTTTTAACCGGTGCATGCATTGTGAGGGAAGGTGTTGATTTTGACAGCTTCGTGAACTTCCAGTCTCGTGGATCTCTGGGAGAGCGATAGACGGTTTCAAACCGTTTTCATGAGTGAGTGGAGACAGCCGAGAGGCCCACGTTCCTTTCTCCTTGCGGTGCTGGGGATGGAGCCCAGGGCCTGGTGCTTGCTGGGCGAGCGCTCTGCCGCTGAGCTGCGTCCCCGGCCCAGGCTTCTTGTTTTGATAACGAAGGAAGATAATTTCTTTGATCTCAGAGGACTGTGCAAATTTTAATTGTAATGGTAAAGGAAAAACCGATTCTTTTGCCCCGTAAAAAATACTTGGATGAGCTTGTAAAGTCATGTGTTGTGTTTGTGCTTCTTTTTATCTAGTTTTTGCCTAGCTTTTTCATTAGTTATTTTATTGCCTTGGAAGATAAGTGGGGATCACAGATAGGCCACAAATTCTACCTGTGTTTTGATTTAAAAGTTTGACCATTTCTGTAGTTGGTAAGCATGTAGACAATTGAAAGTCCATTACAAGCTATGAGAAAATCTTTTCAGGATGGCTAAATTTTGTTTACTTACATAATTCTCTTAGTATCATCTGATTAAGCAAGTTGGGGAAAGATTGTAATCCACTAGGTAGTTTATTGTGTGGTCGAGGTTAAATTTTAAGGGTTTGAGTAGGTGTGTCTCCAAGAGTGCTTTTAGATCTTCCGGTTCTTGGGTAGATAGCTCAGTATTTTCATACACACATTGGCGTGGTAAGCTACCAAAATGTCTGTCTAAAGGATGATTTGTTTTAGTAGTATTTTGGTATGGAGATGAGAGTTGTAACAATTGTATTTGTACAGTACTTCTCAGAGTTCAAGGTCACTTGTGTCTTTCATGTAGATGGTATAGAATCTCATGATTGTTTACTTAGCAATCTTAACCATTGCTATATAATGGTAACGTTTGTATCTTGTTCTTCAGAACTTTGCTTTGGGTGGATCCTTTAGCAAAACAGAACTTAGGATATCATTTTGATTTTATTTAAAATTGTCTTCCTCTTTTAAAGTATTTTCTACATTTCTGCCTCTAAATATTTTCTATTTCTTGTAATTACTAAGCTTGGAGAATAACTTCCAATATTCCTATAATAGTATAGCTCATTGGCTGTGACACGGTGTTCTATCAGACTGGAATTCAATGTTGTAAGTGAATGTTACTTGGATGTAGCTGGTGAGATTTACTTCCCTAAATGTTAAAGTTTTATGTTCATGCTTTGTTTTGTTTTGGCAGCACTGAGATTTGAACTCAGGGCCTCACACTTGCTAGGCAGGCGGTCTTAGGTTTGAGCCACTCCACCAGCCCTGTGTTCATGTTTTGATCATATTTTATTTGAAAAATCCTAGTTATTACAACCTTTTAAGTTTTTTTCTTGTGATATTGGGGTTTGAAATGAGGGCCTTTTGCCCCCACCACATTGAGCCACGCTTACAGCCCTTGTATAGTATTTTTATGGTACTGCAGCACTTTGTGAACCAGGCAAAATTGGTATCCTCTTTTTGCTGATTTGGAAACTGCATCCTAGGGAGTTAAGTGACTTGCTCAAGATAATGTAAGACTGACTGATAGAAGAGTAGGGGAAAGATGGTCTTCTAATATGTAGCCAGTACCCTTTTTCTACCACAGTGCTAAGGCTTATATTAGCTGATTGAGCTCTTACATACAGTTGTGGTTCATTTTATTGAGGTGTGTATATATATATACATACAGACACACACACACACACATACACACATATATATGTGTATATATATGTGCCTCCCAGCTTACCTTGTGTTGACTGTTGCTTGCCTCTGCATAGAGAAAACTGAGTTGCCTAACTTAGACTCTGTTGGCAAACTATTGGGATCTGGGATGCTAGGCATCTAGTCAACCAAAACAACTACTCCACATCTCAAGTTCTTTCTCTGTATGTTAAGGGATCAAGAGTGCTTCTGACATTTTAAATTCGAGATATAGTTTAACTGAATTGTGTACATACTCGCAACCTTTACCTAATTTTATTTTATTTTATTTGTGGTACTGGTATTTGAACTCAGGGCTTCATGCTTACTAAGCAAGTGCTCTACCACTTGAACTACACTTCCGGTACTAATTTACATAATCTTTAAACTAATCTTTTTTTTTTTTTTTTTTTTTTTGTGGTATTGGGGTTTGAACTCAGGGTTTTTGCCTTGAGCCACTTCAAGGTGTATCTGATGGGTTTTTTCAAGATATGGTCTCCTGAACCATTTGCCTGGGGCTGGCCACCAGCTCCAGGCCAAAACTAATAATCTTAACCTGCTTAAAAGACTGTTAAATTGGTTAAGTTTGAATTTTTTGAATTTTGCCTTTCTTTATATCTTCCTTCTGTAATTTAGCCAAGTTTAATCAGAATTGAGGATGGGGACAATGGAAGAACTATCCACGTTCATTAATTGCCAGCTTTTTTGAGAGGCACTGATTTTAGGGTTCTAACCTCCAATTTATTAATAGCAGTTTTAACCTGAGCAAATCACCTAATGACTTATGGTCACTTTATCCTGGAAAATATGGAGTAACTTTGACTTTGAAAAGTTGTGATTATTAAATAAGTCTGACTCATAAGCACTGAGTACATTCATTGTTTTCTCTTCAAGATTCAGGATTCAACTCTAGTTGACTCCAAATGCCATTTCAGTCATTCAGTTTTTCTAATGCCACGATACAATATTCTTAAGTAGAATATACTTTCTCTTTATGTGTCTAGAATTGACTTTAGGTGGTTATTGAGCTTCTGGGGCTAAAACAATTGCCTGGGGTATGTTTCTTAGCACATTCATTCAATGTGAATGTCAAAATGAGAATTAGGTTTTATTTTACCTCAGTTGAATGTTGTAGATAGATACTCTTTTAAAACTTATGCCTATTCTAATTTGCCTTTTGTCATACTGCAGTTAACTATGTGGTATATCATAGACTCTGAAGCAAAGATTGACTTTTCATAAGCTAAGGTTAAGGGAACATTTTCTTTGTAAATGTTAAGACTGAATTGCCAAGAGATGACCTGTGACTGAGTTGACTTACTCTGTCAGCACATTTTGCTGACAGCACATTTTGCTGACAGAGTGGCTCAAGGGGTAGAGTGCTGCCTAGCAAGCATGAGGCCCTGAGTTCAAATGCCGGTATAGAAAAAAAAAAAAAAGAAGCACACGTATCTATCCCTGACTTACATTGAAGATTTAGATTTTAAAAAACATTTATTGAAGCTGTGGACCATGCCTGTAATCCTAGCTATTCTGAAGGCAGAAATCAGGAGGATCAAGGTTCCAAGCCAGTCCTCCCAAATAGTTGTAGAGACCCCATCTCTAAAATACCCAATACACCAAAAAAGGGCTGGTGGAGTAGCTCAAGTGGTAGCAAGCGTGAGGCCCTGAGCTGAAACCCCAGTACCACAAAATAAATAAAAATTAAAGATATTCATTGAGGCAGGGTCTTGCTGCAAAACCTGCGCTGGCCTCAAACTACTAGTGATCTCCTGCCTCAGCCTTCCAAGTACTGGGGTTACTGGGATGATAGCTGTGTACCACATCTGGCCCATTACTAAGCTTTTTATCTCTTGAATTTAGGGCCTCATGCCCATTATCAAACTTTTAAAGTAAAAGTAACGTAAGCCAGCCTTAGAAATTTAAGTGATGGTTTAGAATTGTGAAAATTGGAAAATCACCAAGAATTCTTCACTAAGAGTTAGAAATAGGAATATCTTTGATGTCCTCAACCCATGAATTACTCCTTCAGGTTTTTCAAGAAACACTGATTGAGAGTTTTTAGAGAAGGGAACTAATAATTAAATGTCCATTTTGTGCCAGTTATCATACTAAAGACTAATGCTTGTCTTTAAAAATAGCACAATAATTTTAGACCATAGTGGTGGTAATCTATTTTAGATGGGGATACTGAGGCAGAGACACCTTTTTACATTTTCAGTTTGATACCCTTTTCTAGAAAACCAGGGTTATCAGAACTTCTTTCGTATGTTTCCCAGACCTTTAAAAGTGTCCTTAATCTAACTTATTCCTAATTGTTTGCAGTTAATTGTATTTTTATAGAGTAAGAACATGAGATCCTATCTATTAAGAGGATAAATAAATCTAGGGAGAGTGTCAGGTTGTAGAAGCATATAATAAAGTCTGAAGTGGAATTTAGTCTGTATTGAATAAATTCATGCACTTAACTTTTTTTTTTTCTGTTGGGACTAGGGTTTGAACTCAGGGCTTTGCACTTGGAAAAGCAGGTGCTTACTGCTTGAGCCACACCACCTCCAGTCCATTTTGCTAGTTATTTTGGAGATAGGATTTCATGAACTGTTTGTCTGAGCTGGCCTTGAGCGATGATCCACCAAATCTCAGTCTCCCTAATAGCTAGGATTATAGGCTCAAGCCACTGGTACCCAGCAACTTAAGTTTTATAGTTAAAATTCTATGTACCGAGTTAGTAGAGTGCATTGGTAGTAGCTAAGTAACATGTAGACTACCTGTCCTTAGTGATTAATTGCTTTTTTCAAAATGTCACTCATAGAATGTTAACGCACTGTTATATTAAGGTCTCAAAATTTTATGTAGTGGTATAGGTAATTCTGAAAAAGAATTAGGTTGGCTTTTTAAAAAATAAATTCACCTTTGTGATTTTACTGCTAAGTGAAGCAAATTCATTTGTTCATTCATTTAATGTGGTATCTTAGTAGTACTAGGCTACCATCAGTGAATGAAACGGATTCTATTATGGAGCTTATGATTGTGTATCTTGGGAAAACAGGTAAATATATAAAATGTCAAACTGGGCACTGTTGGCTCACGCCTGTAATCCTAGCTACTCAGGAGGCAGACAGCAGGAAGATCAAGGTTTGAAGCCAGCCCTGGGTATTACCTCGAAAATACCCAACACAAAAAGGGTTGGCGGAGTGACTCAAGTGGTAGAGTGCCTGCCTAGCAAGCATGAGGCCCTGACAATTCAAGTGACTGAGTTTTTTTTTTAATTAAAAGAGATTATTAATGTTTACTTACTCTCTTTAGCTCTGAAAAAATGAAAAATTTTTCAGAAATGCTGTGTGGAGATCTGTGTTCTAAGATTTTGTAGTCTAATGGAGTGAAGACACATTAAATCATGAGAAGTTAGAAGCAGGTAGACACCTGTGGAGAGAAGCATGGAGAGGGTTTCCCAGATGATTGGAATGATGGCTATCAGATTAGGATAGTCCCTAAGCAGCTTTCTATAATGACAGAGATTATAGGTTGGACAACCAGGTTTAAAGTAGCCAGTGACCAGAGAAATAGAAGAAAAAATAGAAAATAAATACTGTCTAATGTAGGAGTATGATCATGACATCATAGAACAGAGAATTTGATTAACGAAACATGTTATACAGCTAGATGTGACGGCAGGTGCATGTAGTCCCATGGTCTCAGCTACTCCAGATGCTATAAGACAGAAGGATCTTTTGCTTCTTTCCTTTCTCCTCTCCCCACTCCCTCCCTCTCTTTTCTTTTTTTTTTGGGGCTAGGACTCAAACCCAGGGCCTTGTGTGTGCAAGGCATGCTTCTACCACTGTATTGCATCCCTAGAAAAAGTTTTTTAAAAAGAGAAGAATTAACCCAGTGATTTTATGATGCAGTTAGTTTTTCTCTAAAACAATTATTTCTTTCATCAACATAACAGACCTAATATGAAACAAGAGTTGAATTATGGTAGGATTAGAATATTTGATTTATAGAGTTCTGACTATATAAAAATGATATTGGAAAATCATTTCCTTTTGAGGAATCTCAGGTATTTACTAAGAAATTAAGTACCTTTTAAAAACTCAGTTTAATATATAAATTCTCTGGTTAAATTTCTAGTAGTTTATAATTAATAATGGGAGTAATTAAAGTGCTTGTACCAATACTGATTCAAATAATATAGTGCTCATAGAATTTTCATGAAGATTTGTCAGGTTAGCTGTTTCTAGTCAATACTTTTTTTTCCATCCTTGTATTTTAACACATTTAAGGTATGTTTGTTACATGCTTCTCTTTCTTGGTTGCTTTTTTTAGTGTGAGTTTGTGGCTTAATAAGTAATAACTGCTGTTGGCATTCATTCTAAAAGACAGTGAGCATTATAAATGGGCTCTTCTCTTGAGTTAATCTTTTCCAACAGAGTCAAGTAAATTTTGTATAAATGCATCTAAAGTACTTTTTGAAATGCAGATTATTCTGTGACACAAAATTAAATAGTATAGTAATATTTTTATTAAGGAGCAGACATGTACTTTATATAGTGCCATTGTTTCCATATAGATTCTACCTTGTAATGTAACATCATGTTGTAAAAGGAAAGCCTTAAAAATAGGTACTACCTTTCTTTTCTCCCTCTGTCTTCCTCTCCTGTAGTACTAGAGTTTGAACTCAGGGCTTGTGCTTGCTAGAAAAGTGCTGTACCACTTCAGGCATACTCCCTTGGCCCTTTTGCCTTAGTTTATTTTTCAGGTAGTATCTCTTGCTTTTGCCCAGGGCCAGCCTTCTGCCTTCCCTGCTGCTGGGATTACAGACATGTACCACCACAGCAGGCTCTGATATTACCTTTCTGTATCCCTTCAGCAACATGCCTAGGCTGCCTTCTAGGTCTGTATCTGACTGCAGCACAGAGTTACCACTTCTGCTGCAAGATTTGTCTTTCATGGGGGAGGAGGGTGTGCTAAAAATTATAATTTTGACACTTTTTAGCAACATCCAAAGGAATCAACCATTTTTTTGAAGGAAAATTTTAAAAATTGCTTAATGGAAGCAGTTAACAAAGAGGAAACTAAACTGGGTGTAGATTGTACAGGAACTTTGTAATACTTTCGTACCTTTTTTGTATATTAAACTATTTTAGACTAGGGGTATAGCTGGATTTGATCCCAACATCACAAAAAAGAGATAGATGGATAAAGTTATTCTAAAATAAAAGGTTTATTTAAATTTAAAAATCTAATGATTTTACCATAACTTCGTGGTAATAACTGGTTTGAAAGAATGAGTGGTTTTTGTTCTACTTTTTCAGAAAAGAAATTGAACCTCTTTTCTCCAACTGTTTTTTAGGACTCAAGATGACCAACGAAGAACCTCTTCCCAAAAAGGTAAGTTTTTTCAACACTTATTTATAGTGGTACTGGAGCTTCACTCAGGGCCTACACTTTGAGCCACTCCACCAGGCCTTTTTTGTGTTGGGTTTTTTTGATATAGGGCTGGCTCCAACCACAGTCATCCTGATCTCTGCCCCCTGAGTAGCTAGGATTACAGGTGCGAGCACCCATGTGGCTCACTTTAAATAAAAGTTTGAAGGACTATTTGGTATTATTTTTCCAACAGATACACTAGAGGTCTGCAAATAATTGCATCTAATATGCACTCTATTTTTAGAATATTTTCAACTTTTGGAAAATATTGTAATAGTATTTCCATGGTTTACTCTTAGCCTTCTTATATAAATGTTTCTGGCTACATACATACATGATGCCAAAAAAGGAGATTACTTCACAAGTTCCTATACTTGTTTTTTCGCCTAGCTTTCAAATCTCCATGTATAAACACGTCTGTATTTTTCAGGGTTACAGTAGTTAGTTCTTCAATCTACTTTCTGAAGTTTTTATTTTCTAACCTCAAATTTACCTATTCTATATCCCTACCTTGAGTTTAGTCACTCTTACATATATGCCATAGACATGATTTAGGATTAGTATTAGAAAAGGGTAACATTGTCCATAAGAGATAAGGCAATACAGTTGAGAAATGAGGGTATGTGCTTATTAAACAGTTTAAGTCAGCAATTAAATAATGTTACGGAAATGTGTACATTTTATTATTAGCATATGGTAGCTGTATAGGGAGATACAGTGTGATATTTACATATGCTTAGAAAATATCTTAATTGTATTTACTCCCTTCATGTTTTCCCTCCTTTCCCCCCTGGAAATTTATATCTTAAGCTATAAGATCAGTTTATTCATGAACTGAATTCTGGTCTAATGCTTTTCTCCTCTTCCATTTTGTAATACTACTATGTTACTGGTTAATAGTATGATTTGGAATATTTTTTAAGGAAATATATTTTTTCCCTGTGGTCCTCTTGGGGACCAAACCCAGGGCCTCATGCATACTAAGTAAAATGCTCTACCACCAAGTTACACCCTGGCGGGGCGGGGAGAAATTTAAGGAAACTTGATAAAGCTTATGCTTAACTAGGACCAGTACGTCATCTTTAAAAATCTTCGTTTGATATAGGAAAAAACACTTTATACTGCTCAATTTATGAAACAGTTTCAACTTATGCCTTGAATTATTTTTTAATTATTTTGGCAGTACTGGAGTTTGAACTCAGGGCCTCACACTTGCTAGGCAGTTGCTCTAACACTTGAGCCATTCCCACAGTCCTTATGTTTTAGCTTCTTACTCTACGGTATTACAGATGCATAGGAAGTTACAAACAAATGTACTGGGAGGGTCTCTACCCTTTACTGAGCCCTCTTTCAATGTTAACATCTTGTATATCTTTCAGACATCTTAAATAACAGTATGAAAACCAGGAAATTGGTATAACACACAGAGCTTACTCAGATTTCATCAGTTATATATACACTTTGAGCATGTATAACTTTATGCAGTTTTATCACACATGTAACTACCACCAATCAAGAGTCATAGCTGAGCCAGGTGCTGGTAGCTCATACCTGAAGTGCTGTCTATGGAGAGGCTGAGATTGGGAGGATCGTGGTTCCCATCCAGCCCTGGCAAATAGTTCTCGAGATTCCACCTCCAGAATAACCAGAGGAAAATGGACTGGCAGTGTAGTTCAAGAGGTACAGCTCCTGCTTTGCAAGGGTGAAGCCCTGAGTTCAAATCCCAGTCCCACCAAACAAACAAAAAAAGTATGTGAACCATCACCCAAGGCTCTGTTGTTACTCCATTATAACCACTTCTTCCCCTTCCTTCCATCCAAACTCCTGGCAATTACTAATGTGTTTATAATTTAATTTCTTAAGAGTGTAACTGCTGGGTCATATGGTACATCCAGTTTTAGTTTTTGTTTTTCATTTTTAAAGGATTCTCCAAATTATTTGTCTGAGTGGCAGTACCATTTTGCTTTCTCACCAGCAGTATGTAAAAGTTCATTTTCTGTGTCCTCATTAATGTTTGGCTTTACCACTGTTTCTTAGTGATACCTCATTAGAATGTTAATTGGCAGTTTCTAGTGATGATACCTATGAAGCTACTTATTTCACTTTATAAACTACTTTCTAGTAAATTTTTTTTTTGTCCTTTTTTTTTTTTTTTGAGACAGGGTCTCATAACCGAGACTAGCCTCAAATTTACAATCCTCCCAGATAGGGCTGGGATTACAGGCATGTACCACCATACCCACCTCAATAAAGTAGTTTTTGAATCATAATAAGTACTGAGCCATTTAAGTCTCAAGCTGGAGAGATGTTTCTTTTATTTATTTATTTTTTTTTCTTTTTGGGAAGATGTTTCTTATTTCTCAGTACAGAGCTCTTTGTAGAAACAGCTTTGTATGCTTTATTTCACCCCCCCCCTTCTTTTTTTTTTTTTTTTGAGACAGAGTCTTGTATGTAGCCCAGGCTGGCCTTGAATTCATGATCCTACTGTCCCTGCCTCCCAAATGCTGGGATCACAAGCTTGGTCCACCAGGCCTGGCAATGTATGTCTTCAGGAAGAACACTGGGTTCATTTTTTAATTCTCTTTATAGGTTCGTCTGAGTGAAACAGACTTCAAAGTGATGGCACGAGACGAGTTAATTCTAAGGTAAAATGTTCTTTCATCAAAAAAAATGTAAAAGTTTTCCTGTAGAAAGATTGACTCGACTGTAGTGTTCAATTTTATGCCATATATTGTTTTATTTTGATTTGGTTTTGGTTTTTGGAGATATGTTGCTGTGTAGTTCAGTCTGGTTTTGAATTCAGGCTCCCAAGTGGTAGGATTACAGGTATGCAGCACCACACCCAGCATGTTTTTAATGATAATACAGCCTCAAGTTACTCAGTGTACTTCTTTGGACATATTTGCTGTGACCTGTTTCTTCATTATATAATCATGGAGGAAAATACAACACTTTAAAGAACTACAGCATTAGCTTAGGTAATTTCTAGGCCAACACAGAATCTAAACTTTTTTTTTCATAGTTAGATGTCCATATTTGTTACTTGGGAAGCACTTGCACTTTTTGTGCAACATGCTATAGGGAAAGACTCTCCTCTCAGGATACATTAAGTTGAATACATTAGTAGGCTCTTTTTCTTTTTTTTTTTTTGTTTTTTGAGATAAGGTCTGCTATGTTGTCCTGGCTGACCTCGAAGTGGCCATTCTGCTGCCTCAGCCTCCCAAGTGCTGGGACTACAAATGTGTACACTATACCCAGCTCATTGGGCTTATTTTAGTATAGTTCTTTTTACATGTAACAGTTGAAAAAGTTCTAATCTGAAAGATGATTTCAAGTTAAGGAAGAAATGCATTATTTACTAATGAAATGAAGTTATTGTTTCTTTTCTCTTCTGTAAGTCAAAGGGGTTGAGTTAAATTATTTTTAAGGTTTACTGTGGTTGTTACAGTTTTTTTTTTTTTTTTTAAAATCATGATTTTTCAGAGCAAACATTAGAAACTCATTGAACTCTACTTTCTTTAGAAATTCATGGGATTTTTATTTTTATTTTGAAGAACTAAGCCATTTAACAAGCGAAAAATGGGGGCGGGAAAGGATTTTTTTATGCTAAAGAGACACAGGTGGTGCATTTCATTATTAACTAGAGTTTATACTGATTTATTTTATCGTGGCCTGAAGCTTTCTCTTCTTTCCCATAAGGTACTACAAAAAATTTTCCATTGTGTATCTTTATTACTTTGTCCTGTAAAGCTAAGAAAAACATCTACTACCTAACTTAGATGTTGGCATTATTTTTTGTGCATTTTTTATGGTGCACTCCCTTAGATGGTAATTTCTGGTTTGATTGCAATCCTTTTTGTTATTGTACAGACAGGCTTGTTGTAGCTATGTAGCCAAAGACAGCTTGTGATCCCCCTGCCTCAGCCTCCCCACTGCTGGGATTATAGGAGAATACCACCATGCTCATCTTGTGTGTGTGTGTGTGTGTGTGTGTGTGTGTGTGTGTGTGTGTGTGTGTGTGTGGTGTTTGTGGTGCTAGAGTTTGAACTCAGGGCCTCATGCTTGCTAGGCAGGCATTTTATCACTTGAACCAGGACTTCTTTTTTGCTTTTCCCATAGGGTCTTGTGTTTTTGTCCTGGAGCTGGCCTTAGACAGCTGTTCCTGTTTATTTGAGATGGTTCACACTACCTTTTTGCCCAGGCTGGCCTAGAACCTCGATTGTCCCAGTCCCCATTTCCTGAGTAGCTGTGATTACAAGCATGAGTCACACATGCCCTGCCCATATATTTTATTATTTTTTTTGGTGATACTGGGGTTCAAACTCATAGCCTCACACTTGCTAAGCAAATGCTTCTCCACTTAGAGTCATGCCTAGCCTCCTACCCAGCTTTTTTGAGATGGGTTCTCTGATTGTTGCCCAGGCTGACTTTCAAACTCTTAGGCTAAAGCAGTCCTCTTTCCTCTGCCTCCCAAGTAGTTGGGATTACAGGTGCACACCACAGCACCAGGCTTGCAGTCTTTCTTGATTGAACTATAGGAGGAAAAAAATCAGTAATCTTAATAACAAGCATAGTAGAATATTTTACATTAAGTAATCTCTCGGATATCTAAATCTTGTACGGTTTATACCTTTGAGGTCAATTAAAGGTCTTTCTTAGGGGATTTTCACTTAAGACTTTTAGGTGAGGTATTCTTTTCCTCTTGAACTCCCTTGGTGATTTAAAATCAAGTACTTGTTTATTTAGTCTTTTTTTTTTTTTTCTATCCTCTTGGTAAGATTTTCTTGCTTGGGATTTTATATTTTCCTATTTCTCTAAAATAGTTCTTACACAACCTCCACAAAAGATCTTTACTGATTCTCAAACATTTGATGAATTCCTGTATGTGTCCTAAGTTGTAGGAGTCATAATGATAAGCATAGCTTTGACTGGACAGTAGTTTTTATATTGAAGGTAGATTAGTTCCCCCCATTATATTGTAATATTAATAATTCTTATAGCATATCTGATTGAAGATTATAAAATAGCTTTGTGAAATTAATTTGAATTAGTTATAACTAGGACAGCAACCAGAAAACATAGCTCTTAAATGACCAGATAGCAATCATTCAGGGAAGGCTATTTTCCATTAGGAATTGCTTAAACATAAGACTGGGGAAATTTTTATGGTTTATCTGCAGTAATTCCCCAGGGCAAATAATGAATAATGACCTGTTTGTGTATTTTAAGCGTAGAGAAATATAAGCTGTCCTTATATCTGCATCTGACATTTATGCAGGTTCCTACCAATTAGATACAGTTTTACAAATAGTCTTGACAAATATTATCTCTTCTCCCTTTTTTAACCAAAAATAAATTTATTACTTTACAAAGAAGTAGAAGTTTGAAGGTTTCCAACATGAAAAAAATGACAGATGTTTAAAGAGATGATTCAGTCACTACACATTGTATACATGTATCATATCATACTATATCCAATAAATATATGTACAGTTGTGTGCCATTTAACTTGAAAAAAATTAATACTGCTTTGAGAAAAACACATGGAATTAGGCACATATTTCAGGCAACACTATCAAAGGTAGTGTAGGGTTTTTATTCAGCTTTTGTAATCTAGGCATCGTGTTAAGCCTAGATTGTCATTTTCCTGTGAGATTTAGGAAAATGAATCTACCTCTAAATTAAAAATCGTCTAGCAGAATTCTCAGTTGTAATGTTTTAGATTTATGGATATGATTTTCTCATATTTAATAAAACCAGTTTTAATGTAAGTACTAACATGCATTTGTCTTTATTCTAGATGGAAACAATATGAAGCATATGTCCAGGCTTTGGAGGGAAAGTACACAGATCTTAACTGTAAGTTCATTTGAGTGGTAGCTTCCTAAAGATTGTAGGAATAGTCTCCTATTACATTGTTGTAATAAACATAAAATAATTGGTTTATTGGAGCAAATGTAATTTTAAGTCAATCATTTTCTTATAAGAACTATATCCAGGCACTGTTAGGAATTGGAGAATATAATCACATGTGACATTTGATCCCTTTTGATCAAAGGAATCTAGGAATTCCGAGTCATTGAGGAAGACGATGGGCAGTGGTCATACAATGGCATGACTGGCAAAATGAAGTGCAGGACTCTTAGCAGCGTGTATTAGGTGACTTACAGCTGCCTGACACTTCTTGATTTGTTTTTAACTCATTCTGTATGGGAGTTTGAATTGGAGTATGAGTTAATAGTCAAGAAAAGAGTTACAAATTTATGAACACTTAAATTGTAACATTAGGATATAGATACAGATTTTTTTTCAACATTTGCTAACGATATTGAGGAAGTTCATAATTTTAAACCATTCTAGTTTGTCACTTTTCATTAGACTATAGAAGCCAATATAGTTTGCCAATTCCAGAAAGCTTAATATCCTAAAATTTTGATTACTACAGAACAATATTATTCACAAAGATCATGAATCTTATAAAGTTTCAGGTGCTATTTGTCCATGCAGTTAATGGCATTTTTATATTGAATGGGTTAGAAAGTTCAATTGGGATTTTTGTGAATACTCTAAAGAAATGTAGCTAATGCCACTTCCTGTGTTCTGGTGGGAACACATTAGACTTTAAACAACATAATTCAGTCTAGTGTTAGGTAGTTGTAGAACACTATAACACAGTTGCCTCCAGAAAGAGCTGTCATGATCAGGAACAAATGTCCTTGTCATTACTGGGTGCTGGTGGCTCACGCCTGTGCTGTGATCCTAAGTACTCAGAAGGCAGAGATCAGGAAGATCCTGGTTTGAAGCCAGCCCAAACATAGTTTTCAAGACCCTGTCTCAGAAAAATCAATCACAAAAAAAGGGCTGGTAGAGTGGTAAGAGTCCCTGCCTAGAAAAGCCCCAATACCACTTAGAAAAAAATTAAAACAATAGGATGAAAAACTAATGGCTTGATGAATTCTGTTTTTGTTTTTGACAAAGATAGTTAGAACTTTCTTTTGATTAGATCAGTTTGATCTTGAAGTAATGTTTTGGATTATTTTTCTTTTAATTCAGCAAATGATGTAACTGGCTTAAGGGAGTCGGAAGAAAAACTAAAGCAACAGCAGCAAGAGTCTGCACGCAGGGAGAATATCCTTGTAATGCGACTAGCAACCAAGGAACAAGAGATGCAAGAGTGTACGGTAAGTATTTTAGACTGTTGACCGCTGTGACGAGGAATTGGATTGAATATAAATCACTACCATTAATACTTAATGGTACTGGAAAGTATAAATGCATATTTTGTTACAATATATATGCTTAGAGTTGTAAATATGCTGAATGTATAATTTTTGTAGGTAACATCTCATCTTTAGATTTTAAATTTTCTTTGGTGGCCAAGAAAGCATTCCCTGAAATTTCAGTGCTTTGTGAAAATTGGTGTATCAATCCAAATATTTTTTCAGATAGCTGATATCTGAGGGTTCAATAATGAATGAAAAGCAGTACAGATTGCTTAACATAGTTTATCTTTTATTCCTCTCAGTCTTTGCATGGGACTATTTATCTTAGTGTGAGCAACTTCTACATTGCTTTCTTTTAGAATTCTTATTTGTACTATTTGCCATGTCTACATAGATCTGAAGTCTAATGACATGTTTGATTGTCTGTCTTTGGTAATTTAGACTCAGTCTTATGCTGTCTTTGATAGACCTAACCATTCCTTTCTTTTTAAAGCTTGTGTGTATGTATTTATCTATATATAAATTTTATAGGTCTATCCTTGTTTGAAGTTTTAAAATCTGAGTATTTCAACTGTTGTTTACTCTCCATTCATTTGATCCCTACTTAGTAAAATATTCTAATGTGTAAGGCATTTTGATTGTTGAAGACAGTAAAAACAAATGTACATATAGAATGTTCTTTTTATTATTATTATTTTATTTCACTAGTAGAATGTTCTTAAGGGCTCACAGTCCTTTCACTTCCTTTTCAGAGTCTGTCTGTATTTCCACAAAAGTCCCTATTCTTTTTCACTTCACTTTCACAAAATGACTTTTTACCTTTTCCTTTGCTAAAGAAAAAGAGTACCCTTTATTTTGTTTGGTTTTTTTTTTTCCTTTTGGTGATAGTGGGGTGAACTAAGGGCTTTGCACTTGCTGGTCAGGTGTTCTACCACTTGAGCCACTCTACTAACCCATTTTCTTTACTGGGTCATCACTTTTTCTCCTTTTGTTTCTACGTTTACTTCAGTCATCACTAGCACTGATATGATACTTAATTTTTCCTCTGTAGTCATGGAGGACTACCTTAGTAAATTTCCCTTTCACTCAAAGAATGAATCTTACCTTCAGTATGCTAACAACTGTCGGGAGTGTGAATGGATAGTGCAGTGTCTTCTGTCACTAAAGTGTCTTGAATCCTTTCTTCCTTATTCCTACTCTTGACATCATAGCTCAGGTACTTTTTACCAATTGCCTAGACAATATGTCCTATTGACTCATGTCAGAATCTCCAGATGTTCTGTACATAGTGGCAGTTTAAATGAGTGTCATGCCTGGTCAGAGCCTTTAGTGGGTGATTTCCTATCATATCACTCTTTTGGTCTTTTCAACCTGGATTTAAAGATTATTTCAGGTAGAATCCAACCTTTTCTAGTTGGATTTTATATCTAGTTCTTTTTTATATCCTTCCTCTGCAAAGTGTGGCCAGTTGTTCTTTCAGTTACATTAAAGGGTGAAGTTTTCCAGACCAGAGCCACAGGAGCAAAAACACAAGGAAAGGGCAAGATTATATATGGGAAGTAAAGTCACTGTTTTAGATAAGGATGAAAAGAGGATGAGGGCCTGGGTTCATAGATACTACTCTAGGTGTGAGGGAGCCACTGGAGAATTTTTAAGAAGGAAATTTATTTGGTTGGTCAGGAGGTATCTTAGGTGTATGATTCTGGCTTGAATATGGACGATAGACTTCAAAAGAAAAGGACTTGCAACAAGAAAACCAGTTGGGAAGCTCTTAAAAAAAGAGGAAAAGAGTTCAAGTGAGGTAAAGCCATTGGTGGCCAGAAAGTGGATAGATCTTTTGTTGGTACAACAAATAGGACTTGGTCAATTGTTGGAGAAGTAATGAGGAAACTTAGGGATGGCTGTCAGGTTTGCCTTGTGTGACCATGAGCAATGATGCTACTAGCATAGAACCTATAAAGGAGACCAAATTTAAGAAGAACAGGGTATATATAATGTTAGGAAAACTGAGAAAATGCAATCCCTTCCTCCCTCTAAAGGCAAAGAAAGTGAGTATTAGTGTCAGCAGCAAAAGTAAGTTTCAGTAACGTAAGAATGTTAAATTACTGGGTTTGGCGGTTAGGAGGCTGTGGGTCACTTTAGTGGAACCTGTTTCAGTTGAGGCTGAAGCAAGATTTGAATGATTTGAGGAGGTGATACATCATTTAGAGACATAGCTAACATTTCTTTCCTGAGGTAGTTTTTTAATTTAATACTTGTGTTACTAGGTGATGTACCACATTGATAGGATTTAGGATGAGACACTTTGGAAAATGTACAAGCTGTAGAGGAACTATTAAATGAGAGTTCAGACATACAGAATTTAAGAAGCAGAAAGAATGGGAGTAAGATACCAGAGAAGGCAGATAGATGGAGGGATTGACCTTGAACAAGAGCTCTCCTTCCATACCCTCGTGAGAATGGAGGAAAAGTGGTAAGGATTGTATTAGATACCTACCTTTTCCAAAGGGGCTGGCACTTTTACTCTCAGTGTTTCAAATTAAGATAAACATAGAACAAATTAATATGGTGTTAGGAATCTTTTTTTATTCTGTATATATAGATCTTCTGTTGGTCTGACATGCTGTTAAGTAATTGTTTCTTTTTTGTCTACATGCAGTCTTTGCCAAGTCTACCCATTCCATTTATTTAGCAAGTTTTGAATGTAAGGTAGCCAAAGAAATAATGATTGTTCTTGGAGGGTTTTTGGAAGGGAGGCAGTGGTGAGGATGTAACTGAGGGTCTGGGCATGCCCCTGAGCTATGTATATTCCAGCCCTCTGTTCTTAGACTTTTATAATACTTGGTTAACTCTGTTTATCAATCAAAATCGATTGTTTTTGTTTTCCTAGTTCTTATGTAGTCATTTGCCAATCAAAAATAGCTTAGGAGTAAAACTGTGTTTTTTTGGCAACTCTGGAGCTGGAACTCAGGGCCTTACACTTGCTAGGCAGGGCAGTCTTTATTGTTTGAGCCACTCTGCCAACCCTTTGTGTGATGGGTTTTTTCAAGATAGAGTCTCCCAAGCTATTTGCCTGGGACTGGCGTTGAACCACAATTCTCCTGATCTCTGCCTCTTGAGTAGCTAGGATTACAGGCTAAAACTTTTTTTTTTTTTTGTCAGTACTGGGGTTTGAACTTAGCCCTCACACCTGCAAGGCAGGCGCTCTAACACTTCACACTCCACCAGCCTGACTTTTAAGACACTTTATTCAGTGCTTTTTTCTCTAACAAAGGAATTTTATTCTAGTCATATTTGTGTCTCTTCATGACAAAAAGTATTGACTGTAGGGATTTTGCAAAGCCAAGTCTGACTCTGTTGTGGAGACTGTTGTAATTAATGAGATGAGCACATGATAAACACTATTAAAGTTGCTTTATGCCAGCTGCCAGTGACTCACGCCTTTAATCCCAGCTACTCAGAAGGCAGAGATCAGGAGGATTATGGTTCAAAGCCAGCCTGGGTAGATAGTTCGTGAGATCCTCTCGAAAAATCCCATCATAAAACAGAGCTGGTGGAGTGCCTTAAGTGGTAGATCACCTGCCTAGCAAGTGTGAGGCCCTGAGTTCAAGCTTGTGCCACTCCCCACTGCACCCCAACCCCCATGAACCCCCCCTCAAAAAAAGATACACTTTATTCTTCCTGTATTAAATTACCTTAGAAGCTTGTGGGTTTTTTGGTTTAAAATGAATAGCTTAAAAATATATCTAAGTTAAATATTATTTCTGTTTCCACTTAGTATTGTGTCTTGTACTAAATTTATGGTAGGCAGTTTTAACTTTCCTTCTGTTTAAGTCTGAGTGTGGAGCAGGATCTTGAACCACTTCTACTTTGGATATGAAGAAATTGATGAATCTAATGTTACTAACTGTATTTCATATTCTTGAAATACATTTGTAGTGTGCTACTAAGTGGTACAACTGAAGATGAAATTTTAAGGTTTCAGTGTAAGTTGGGTTGTGATATGGTGGTAGAAGCTCTAGACTGGGAGTCAGGAGGCCTGAGAGCTACAACTCTAATCACAGCAATGTGAATTAGGTCAGTTACCTTTTAGCTTTACAATTCTGTGATTAACATTACACAAAAAGGGGGGGGAGCATACTTTTTTTGGCTTAAGGTGCCATAGAATTTTGCTTCTATGAAAATGTAATGCCAGTATCATATATTTTTAAATTTAGAAGTACAAACTTTTCTATATCTGGCATATTTTAGGGAAATTTTATGTAGGATAATTTCTACAGGCAAAAATAAACTAAGATCCCACTGAGTATAATTAATATTTTAAACTTTGCTTTTATCTAGTGTATGTCAGCATGTTTAGTAAGTAGATTTTTTTTTTTTAAATAAAACTGTTTTGGTTGCAAAGTGAGATGTAACCTCTTTATTTCGAAGTCCCAGATATGAAGGTGCATTCAGATTTCCACAAATCCTACGTGGATAACCTTAAATTTGGTGTTCGCTTTGTTTTGAGACAGAGTCTTGGCTATGTAGCCCAGGCCGGCCTCGCGCTTCAATCCTCCTGCCTTTGCCTCCTGAATGCTGGGATTACAGGCATGTGCTGCCATACTTGGCAACAGTTGGTTTTTTAATTTGTGCCTTTTCTTTATCTTTTTTCACTGCTGGGATCAAACCCAGGGCCTTGTACATGTTAGACAAACACTCTACAACTACTGAGCCACATCTGCAGCCCTTATTTTTCCTCCCCTTTTGGGTCTCACTGACCTCAAACATGGAATTCTCATGCCTCCACCTACTGAATACTGGGATTGCTTGCATGCACCGCCACACTCAGCTTTGATTTGTACTTTTTTAGAGTACATCTTTGGGGTGTGTGTGTGTGTGTGTGTGTGTGCTCCAGCACAACCTATGGGTTTGTTCACATTTGCTATACTGTGGAGTAATTCCCCAAGCTCCTGGAGAGAATTTTAAGATTCAAGGGGATAAGAGCTTAATAAATGAGCAGGTGAATCAAAATAACGAAAGGGAGTTTCCCCCATCTTCTTATGTGCACTCTTTGGTTTGGTAGTAATTGTTTCTTTTGCTTTGCGCAGACTCAAATCCAGTACCTCAAGCAAGTCCAGCAGCCGAGTGTTGCCCAACTGAGATCAACAATGGTAGATCCAGCGATCAACTTGTTTTTCCTAAAAATGAAAGGTGAACTGGAACAGACTAAAGACAAACTGGAACAAGCCCAAAATGAACTGAGTGCCTGGAAGTTTACGCCTGATAGGTAAACAAATCATACTCCCCAGTCAAGACTTCCCTGACAGTCCCACTACGAGAAAGCTGTGGTGGGACAGCCAAGTACTCGTTTCCACACCAAGACTCAGACTTTTTGAGCCAAAAAAGCCACATTCTTACACTGTCCAGCTTGTAATGGTTAATGTAAAACTTACCAGATGAACCTTGTGTTTCAGCTTTTTTTCTCTTCCCCTTCCCCTTGCTTCAAAGGCCTGATGCCGTCGGACTATTCCGAAGAAGAGGCCACCTCCGAAAAATTCCCCTTCTAGAACATGTAGACACTTGAGAAATGTTTCTGTTTGAAGAAAATAGAGGGAGAAACAGAAGTCTTAAGTCTGTGGCACATTGTGTCTTCAGACAGTTTGGAGGATTGAAAACCTAGAGATTTTTAAATCATGAATTGAACATGTAAAATTCCAGTAAAATGTAAACATGGAATTGCATCGCTCTTAACCTTGAGCATAGTGACTTAGAGACACTGTATACCAGTTTTGCCAATAAGACTGTGGACTTCATGATTGTTAATGAACTACTGGGTCAAAAGGTGAATTTGCCTTTAAAGAATTTACTTGATAAGAACCAACTTAATAGTCATCAGACAAATAGTAGATGTCAGTACAAGTAGTGCATCTATTTAACCAGTTAGCTTAGGGCTCTGTATTATTGGATGGAGCCTTCAATCAATGTGGTTTAAATCAATGGTTTGTTCTTTGAATGGTTTTGAAAACTGTAGATATTCTTAACTGAGGAATGTACAAACATAAAGGTGTGGTATCAAATTTCAGGTTTAAACTGTTGGAAGCATTATAAACATTCATTTCACAACTAGATTGTATAAGGATATTGGCTGTGATGAGACTCACTGCATTATTTTTTTCAGTAGTGAACTTTTATGAAACTCATCCCACCCAACAGGCACATGTTAAAGCAGCATTGTTGGTGTTAGTGGGGGAATGTGTTCCTTCATTGTATTTGAGCCCTTTGTATTACACTCTTGATATTAAATTAAATGTGCCTTCAAGTAGTTGGTTTTTTTTTTTTGTTTTTTTTTTTTTTAAGTTTAAGGAATATTCTCATTTTGTTGTACTCTTAACATTTTAATTTGGAGGGGCTGTGGAGAGCAGATTCATTTTGGAAGAATTGTTCTGTGCATTTCAAAGTGAAGGAAAAGGCTGTCCAAAAAAAAGACTTTACTCCAGCTGGTATCATAAAAGACAAGGAGACTTGCCACTGTTACTTTCTGACACTTTGTCCCAGGATACTGCAGTAGAAATTACTGTGGGACAGTCTCACAAGTTCCCGGCAGAAGAATGGGGGAAGTAATGTGCTGGAACTATGGGCTGGCCTAAGTGAGACATTTTGTGAATTGAAAAAAAGGTATAGTGATCATTTGATCATTTAGATAAATGAGGCATTATTTTCTACATGCTTCCATCCAAACCTGGAGGTGAATTTTTTCGTCAGATCATTCTATAAGTCACCAATTTGAATTTTCGCTTGGTGATAATGGAGTCTGAGATGAGTGGAAGATAAATGTTCCAGCTTGTCCCAACGTTTAAGTGCAGTTTTAACAAGGGTGACTTAAGTTCTCTCTTAATCATTCAAATCAATTGTAAGTATCTTGTATGTTTGTGCTCTAGGGAACTGATTGTGGGGCAGAGGGTGGGTTGACTAAGTAATCTGTGTGACTTTTCAGGAAGAAATCTGCTTCTAAAATTCTCACTGTTTGTGGGGTTTGGAGGGTAAGTATAACCAAATTTGTTTGAAATTAGCTTGTTGTGCCCAAGTTAAACCTTTCATATTTATCCTGTGTATTTTAATATCACAGTAGAAATAGCTGACATATAGTTTTAGTAGGTCAAGAAGTAATTCATTAAGTATATTATTAACATATACTCAAATTTAGCCAGAATCTTTTTTCGCCACATAGGTGATAGTCATTTTGAGGTCTGTGGGCATTTTTTCTTGTTGTTAAACTTTTTTCTTAATAAGATATGTGCTCGTGTATAAAACTGAAACATTGGAGAAAGGAGGACATGAGAAGTGTCACGCCTGGATGTGACATTAGCCTGTCATATTTGGCTCTCTAGGAGCAGTAACTGCTATTAGTTTTTTGGGTGTCATCAAGATAATTTTTCATGCATATATATTTGTACGCATATATATATAGGTTTTAAGCAAGTGTGATCATACCACATGTACAGATGACTTGCAGCTTTTTTTCCCCTCCATTTTATTTCTTGGGCCTTTTTTCTTTTTAGTACATCTAGGTTACTACATTTTTGATGGTTGCATAGTATCTCCTTTATATTAATGAATCATACATTACTTTAAACACCTACAAATGGATTTCTGTTACCTAACTCAGGCGATAGGCCTGAGTATATTGGGTACTATAAGTACATTATTAATTTGAAACAAGCAGTGCTCAGTCAATATCAATCCATAGTAGTCAAATAGAATGGGCGTGTGTACGTGTGTGCGCGCGCGTGCGTGTGGGCGTGTGTATTTGTGCGTGTACGTGTGTGGTATATTTTTCCCCCTTTGCTATTTCTGTTTAAATTTTGAGGAAGAAAGATTCCCTAGCTGGCATGATGGCACATGCCTATATTCTCAGCACTCATGAGGCCAAGGCAGGAGAACCAGCGTTCAAGGCCAGTTAGGGCTACATATATAGATTCTGCTTCAAAAACAAAAAAGCAGTAAGAAAGTGAGAGATTCCCTGAGTTATCTTGTCCACTTTAAAATAAATCATTCATTTGACAGTGCAAATGTATTCAAAGGGGTGTGTTTTCAGTATTTTGCAGTTTCTCAGTTCACATTTAATCACTTAGGTAATTGTGTGTACTGCACTCCAAAATAATGTGATTCCTTGATTATTAAAAGCAATGTTTGGCCGGGCACTGGTGGCTCACGCCTGTAATACTAGCTATTCAGGAGGCAGAGATCAGGAGAGTTGCAGTTTGAAGCCAGTCCAGGCAAACAGTTTGTGAGACCCTATCTTGAAAAAATCCTTCACAAAAAAGAGCTGGTGGAATGGCTCAAGGTGTAGTCACTGAGATCAAACCCCTAGTACCACAAAAAAAGCAATGTTTGATGTGCATTCTTTTCTTCATAAATCTTTAAGTCCCATTATATTTACTTCATGTGTTACTTTGTTTTAGGAATGGGGTGTGTGTAATTAAAAATTATTTCAAAAACACTCAAATGAAAGTAGGAATCCTCAGGCTGGGGTGTGGCTGAAGTGGTAGAGCTGATGTAGGCCCTGAGCTCAAGACCAGTACTGCTCCCCCCTCCCAAGAAAAAAACCCTCGATTTTCATATTTTTTCAAATATTTACGTGTAATTAAATTCTCTTCTTTTAAAAAACTTCATTTATTTATTTATTAGTGGTATGCTAGGCAAGTAATCGTCCTGAGCTACATCAATACCCCCACATACCCTCTTTTTCTTGGGGGGAGGTGCTGGGTATTGAATGCAGGACTTCATACGTGCTAAGCACACACTACACCAGTGAGTATACGCCCTGCCCACTCATCTTTTTTTTTTTTTTTTTTTGGCTATGTGATGACCATAACATAATTTTTTTGAGGGGAGGGGGGTACTGGGGTTTGGACTTTGGGGGCCTCACACTTTTGTTAGTCAGGTTCTCTACCATTTGAGGCATTTTGCCAGCACCATAACAAAAATTCCTTATGGTATAGTTAATGACATAAATTTATAGTGTTTAAAAAAAAAAACAGTTTTAAGATGGTTTTGTCATTAGCTCTTTTAGTTGAATTTTAGAGGTAATAAAGTCATCTTCAAACAGGCATTATAAAATGATATGAAATTTCTTTTTTGGACAGGGTCTTGCTATGTAGCCCAGGCAGCCTTGAACCCTATTCTGTTGCCTTAGCCTTCTGAGGGCTGGTATAACAGGCACATGTCACTGAAAATGTGAATTTTTTTTGCAGAGTTCTTTCTTATTTATTTTATTACCATATTATTGTTGTTCTTGAGGTACATTGTGACATTTACAAAGGTTCTTACAATATATCATAGTTGACTTTACCCCTCCATCATTCTCCTTTATTTCCCATTCCCAATGTAAATTTTTAAATGAAACTTTTTTGCTGTAGGATTTTTGATGCTTTTTATATGAGGTTAAGTCAGGTCACAAATTGATGTACTTTACAATTGTCTATTAAATTCATATAAAAGAGTTTTCAGGTTAATTGGAAAACACAGATGCTGTAAGTTTGCAAAAAGCAAAATCGTTGGAGCTAGGTCACTAAATGAAAAGAACTCTGTTTTTGAAAATATTGTCTACATCTTATTTCTTCATTGTTTGATTTCTAAACTGGTGTTTAGTGGATGCAAAGTCTAAAGGTGCTGATGGCAAATGGGGGAAATCTGGAGCTACAGGAGCAGAGAAAAGTTGGCATTTAAAGAATAAAACATTTTGGTCCAGGTTTGAAGTTAGCCTGGGCCAAATACCCAACACAGAACAGGGCTGGTGGATTCGCTTAAGTGGTAGATACCTGCCTAGAGAGTCTGAGACCCTGAGTTCAAAACCCAGTACCAACAAACAAAAACAACTAAACTTCTTTCACCCTTGGGCTGCTTTGAATAGTAGTAACCCAGGTTTACTGTTGCACAGATTTTTGTAAGGAAACAATTACAAACATTGTTAAATTATATCAGGTTAGAACACAGGGTGTAGAGCAAAAGAACTTTGTAACACTACTTGAAAGGATGAGAATTAGCTGCATAGTGCCCCCATTTAAAGTACTAAGGCTTTCTAGGATCCAGATGTATTCTGAGGTAATTGCCAGGCACGTGCAAGTCCCATTAGAGGAAAAAAGAACTAGAATAACAAATTGTTTTTAACCAATACAGCCATTCTGGACTTAACCTAATGACAAGCATGTCAAACTATCCCTTATCCAAATTAGTATCATATACTTAAGTCAGAGCCCTTCAAATGTGATTCTAATTTCTACCATTGTTGCTTAAGCTAAAGAAAAGCAGTAATGTTTTCTTGAGAAACTGTTATTTGGACACTTGGTCTTTAATAAAATCAATAAAATATTTCAATATTAGAAAACTTACACCCCAGTCTGGCAGCACAAAGGTATATGTCTCATATAAAGAAGTTAAAAGAAGAATTAATTAGTAGAATAGTAGAAAGACTTGTTTTTTTGAGTGTTGAGGATCAAACCCTGACTCTTGATAGCACATGATAGGCAAGCATATGATCACTGAGGACCCTCTGTACGGTCTCAAGGCTTTAAAAAAATAAATACTGAAAGTGCCTCACTTATTAATGGGTTAGATATATTAAGAAGTGTGGAAGATACATATATACACCAGAGAATTACTTATTAAGTGGAACCCTTATATACATTTTTCTAAAAAGAATAAATGTATTCTAATTCATTTATAGGTATAGAGAGGCATATATTCATTTGCGTGCTGGTGCTCATGCCTGTAATCCTAGCTACTTGGGAGGCTGAGATCAGGTAGATTGTGGTTCAGGGCTAGTCCGGGCAAATAATTCACGAGACCCCCATCTCCAAGATAAACAGCAAAATGGACTGGAAGTGTGGCTCGAGCATCTGCTTTGCAAGCATGAAGCCCTGAGTTCACCCACAAAATAAAGTAGTATACATTTGTGATTGTATGTTTTAAAGAACTTTTCTGTTTGGTAAAGCTCAGTATCTTGTGCTGGTATATCCAAGGTGTGTGTTAACTAGTCTGTTTGTATTGCAAGTGATAATTTGGGAGGAAAATAGGTTAGTGATGTAATAAAAACAAAAGGTGGTCATATGGCCCTTGTTGTTTAGGCTTTACTTTGCGGTACTGGCAAAATACTGAAATGAAGATGGATGTGTTCCAGGAAAGAAGATAATTATAGGATGGCATCTTCTGTGACATAGCTATGTTCTGTACATGTTGTATCTATTGCTGTAATACTTGTAAGCAAAAAGAGTTATAGAGAGTTTAGTCTTCATTTTGTGATGGTTGACTCCTTTCCTTTACAGCCAAACAGGCAAAAAGTTAATGGCGAAGTGTCGAATGCTTATCCAGGAGAACCAAGAGCTTGGAAGGCAGCTGTCCCAGGGCCGTATTGCACAGCTTGAAGCAGAGCTGGCTTTACAGAAGAAATACAGTGAGGAGCTTAAAAGCAGTCAGGATGGTAAGGTTTTGATGCCTTTGCACTGGCTTAATAAAAACCTGTCAGGCATGAATGTTATAGGCTAGATTCTGTACGTGCTATTCTCAGCTGATGGTTATATGAAATTGTCAATGAAACGGTTTTTGTTGAGTCAGTAAAGCCTATCCTACTCTCCTAATTGCTTATTGTGCATTTTGTCAGTTTTTGTTTTTAGGATAAGGATATTTAAAATTTTAGTAATTGCTTAAGAGAAGGTATACCTTTATTTCTCTTAAGTATAAATCTTGGAAACATTTAGCCATTTTCAGTAGCCTGAAGATAATATAATTAGGTGTCCTTGCTAAGGTCCAGATTAGTAAGTGAGATTTAATATTTAAAATTTGCTAAGACAAAACCGAATTTTGCCTTCCATCCTTTTTTGTGTAAGTGTAGCTGCCTCTGCTGTTTCTCCTATTTGTGAAGATTAATTGTAGGTAAGGAACATAGCCAAACTGAAAAATTTAAACCATCAGTATATCTGAAGGTTAATTGCAAAGAAAACCAGTACCCTAAGTATTATCTTTAAAGCTACCTTTTCAAAGTGATAGTTACTAGCTCTTATTACTTGCACATATGTATAGTAGGAGAATTTTATGTAGCGGTGAGAATGTTTTATCAAAGGCTCTTTAGAAACTTAATGGGCTTGTGTATCTTAACAATCTCTGAGAATCAGGTGATTTTGTTCTTGTAGAACAGTCTTTGATTATAGTATAAGCCTCTTTGGAGAGTTAAGAGTGAGAGCCACACTGTCCTGAGTGTTGAACCTGCTGTGGAGACTGGCTAAGAGGGTGAAGTGTAAGGGGGGCTTAGCCAGGGTAGGACCACAGGTAAGGGTGGACAAAAGTTTGCATGCTGTCATCAGTTGTATATGGCAGGATAGTTTGAATCAATTTTAGCTTGGTTGCTGTAGTATATTATTTGAGGCATCTGACTACTCCCCGAACAAACTCTTTCCTGAATGGCAATTTAAAAATTCTAAGTAAAACTTAAAAAATACACTGTTACAGTTTTAGAATTGTATTTGTTCACTTATCAGGTGTTTATTGACTGTCTGACTTTGTGGCAGGCACTTAAATATATTAAAAGAAATATTAAAGTAGGTTTGACTTTCCTTTGCACAGAACTGAATGACTTCATCATTCAACTTGACGAAGAAGTAGAGGGTATGCAGAGTACCATTCTAGTTCTTCAGCAACAACTGAAGGAAACACGGCAGCAGTTGGCTCAGTACCAACAGCAGCAGTCTCAAGCTCCAGCCCCAAGTACTAGCAGGACTACATCTTCTGAACCTGTAGAACAGGCAGAGGCCACAAGTAAAGACTGCAGTCGTCTGGCAAACGGACCAAGTAATGGAAGCTCCTCCCGTCAGAGGACGTCTGGGTCTGGATTTCACAGGGAGGGGAACACAACCGAGGATGATTTTCCTTCTTCTCCAGGGAATGGTAATAAGGCCTCCAACAGCTCAGAGGAGAGAACTGGCAGAGGAGGTAGTAGTTACGTAAACCAACTCAGTGCGGGGTATGAAAGTGTAGACTCTCCCACGGGCAGTGAAAATTCTCTCACACACCACTCAAATGACACAGACTCCAATCCTGACCCTCAAGAGGAGAAAGCAGTGAGTGGGAAAGGTAACCGAACTGTGGGTTCCCGCCACGTTCAGAATGGCTTGGACTCAAGTGTAAATGTATAGGGTTCAGTTTTGTAATATTTTTCCAACAAATTTTATACAGTGTCTTTAATTTGGGAGAGGATACTGTCCAGAAAATTAATGCATACTTTTGTCACAATTTGCCTTTTCGTGGGTGTGTGTTTTTGTTTTGTTTGGTTCTTTTTTTTTTTTTTTTTTCCCTTCCCCAACCCCCTGCTTCAATACCTCTGCCACTTTGAAAATTGTAACAGTTAATTACTTTGAATGTTGCTAAAAGGACATTTTGTGTAGGGTCAAGTTATTTTTATATGAGTTAATGTGAAGTTGTAAATGGGAATCTTTCCATAAAGTATAACAATGGTATCTGTATATATCTGTGTCTATCTAGAACCTGTGCTGTGTGAGGGCATTCTTATCCATGCTGTTATATACATAACACACCATTCAGACTTGTTAGAGTAGCTGTGGGTTTATGACTGCCAGGTTTGCCCAGTACAGTAGTTTTTATCACTAAAAGTTGGACTTGTTGATGGAGTCCTATAGTAGTTTCAATGTTAGATACAGTTTTTTCCACCATACATCTGTGCATTTATCTTTAGGTGACTGAATGTTTAAGAATTTGTGTGCATAGTTACTCAGTTTTTATGAACTGTTGTATCCTGTTAGTGCATATTGCTCTGTGACTCCAGTATACCTTACCTGTACTGACCAAACCTAAATAAAGATTTTTATTGTAACTCCTTCGTTAGCTTTCGATTTTGTTTTGGGTGTGTTCAGTACTTGTCATTTACTTTCATTAAATTTCTGAATTTCTACTTATCCTTAAGCATACCACAAAGGGGAGATTTAAGTCGATGTATTGATTTTGATTATGGACCTCATTTTTAATCTGCATTTTCTTTTGCAAAATGAATTTGTACCTTAACTATACTTAGATTATTTTTCTGGTTTATAAAAATTATTTTAAAAAATTGGAAATACAGAAAAATCTAAAGATAAAAGCCATTCAAGTATTTTAGGTTTTAATTGAAAAACTTTTTTGTGACCTTTATTTAGGATGTTACTGTATCTATGCAGTCAGGGATGTTTGTTTAAAACACTGGCCAATACTAATGGTTTTGACTAGCAGATCTGTGTATACTATATTGGTGAGTCTATCAGGCGTTAGAATGGAGGAGAAAAGACTGCCAAAAGTATGCTTCAGTCATGTGCTGGTGGCTAACATCTATAATCCTAGCTAATTGGGAGGCAGAGATCAAGAGGATCAAGTTTTGAGGCCAGCTCAGGCAAATAGTTCATGAGACCCCCATCTGCAAAATAACCAGAGCAAATTGTACTGGAGGCATGGCTCAAGTCATGATGCCTGCTTTGCAAGCATGAAGCCCTCCCTTAGTTCAAACTTGAGTTCCATCAAAAAACCCAGAGTTTACTTCATTTATTCCCAATGCAATTAAATATCAAGGTCTGTGGCATCAAATGTCTATAGAATCTATAGCTAGCTGTTTGCACATAGCTGAGATACAGCATGTTATTTCTGCTAAAAGCAAAGTAGTAATACAATCACAGAACCTCGGAATGAAGTGTGCCACTTAAAATTGACATACAATTTACTTGAAAATAAGTGCTGTATTTTTGCTTGTTTGGCTGATGTCTTAAATGGTATGTTAAAAATACTGCACTGTTTCATTAATCTTTTGTGCAGTCTTCTCAAGTGAATAAAAAGTCTATACAATTTAAAATAATTAAACATTTTGGTGTGCATTAAATACTCCCTTGATTTAGCAAATGCTGTGGGCTTTAGTTTTGTTAAGAGGTATGCATTCAATCATCTAATTTAATAAAAGAAATTTTGTGTTGAAGTTATATAATCACTGGTGTGCAACAGGAAACTAATTTTCAACCAGTAATGTAATTTTATAACTAAATTTAATACAGACTTATTACTGGGACTACCAGTTTTCACATATATCAGTGTAATCTGCCTTGAATAATTTAGAGAGGGTTTATGATTGCACATAGAGACAGTATTCTTTGTTTCTGGAATTGGATGCCTCGTTTGCTGGTATGACTGATGTTAAGATAAGAGGTGGCAGACCATGTCCAGATGGAAAGTGCTTTCTGGAGGTAGTGGGTTTAAATCCTGGTATCACTACTAATAATCTGTTAACATGATTTGGCAAACTACTTAATCTCTCTGATTGTTTTTTTTGTTTTGTTTTGTTTTTTACCCCCCCAAGAGAAGCATTAAGGGAGTTTATATAGGTGAAACACTTATCATAGTGCTGTCTTAGTTTGGGCTGCTATACCAAAAATACCATAGACTGCGTGGCTTCAACAACAGACTTTATTTCTCTCAGTTCTGGAGGCTGAGAAGACACATCAGTCTGATTTGCTGGCTGGTCTGGTTCCTCCTGAGGGCTCTCTTCCTGGCTTGTAGACGGCTACCTTCTTGATATGTCCTCCTTCAACAGGGTGAAGAAAGCTCATTTCTCTCATTTCTCATATCCCATTCACAAAGGTTCCACCCTTATAACCTAATTACCTCCAAAGGATTTGCCTCATACCATCACATTAGGAATGATGGCTTCAACATACGAAAGAGGACAAGAGACAGAACCTGAAAACTTCAGTCCATAGCAAGTGCCAAGTAAGTGAAGTACCAGTCCTGATGACAAACCACCTGCCCTCCCTTTGTCAAACATTTGAAATAGAAATGCTTACTGTTTGGATAGTTTGTGCTGAAAGAGAAGAGATAGCTTTAATTAAAAGGTTGGTAAGTGTTGGAGCTATCCTTCAAAGTGTTATCATTAAAGCTCCCACTATAACTTCTACTTCAAATCTGGCAGCTCAACCAACTAATTCTGAAAGCCAAAGCTCTTACAGCTATTCTGCCTTCCTTCACCTGAATAAATGAAAGAAATGTCCCTGACTTAGAGATGACAGCTTACAATGGTTGCTCTGCCAAACACCTAAGAGTTGGGGATAGTCACATGAAATGACAATGCAGTGACTGAAAAAAATGCAGATTTTAATGGTTTTAAGCATACAGCTAAAGATACACGCTAATGTATCAGGTTTAGTGAAGGACAGTCTCAAGTAATCTTCATGCTGCAGGCCCTGGTTATTCCCAGCACAGGGGAAGGAAAAAAAGGGAATTTGTCTACAAAAGGAATAAAAACATGAAGGCAGTATTGGAAGATGGATCAGTTGCTATATCTTTACATAAACTCCAGTGAATACTGTTAATGGGAAGACTAACAGAAACATGTAAGCCAGGCATGGTGGTGTGCTGTTGTAATCCCAGTACCAGGCAAGCTGAAGTGAGGCTGGAAAGATCTAGGCCAGCCTGTGCTACATAGAGCCTGTCTCAAGAACAGCCCTTCCCCCATCCCCACCCCCCTCCCCCCAAAAAAACCCATTTCTGTAAAAGAACTTGTTTTATAGAGAGCTCAAAAGTCTTGGCATCTCAGCAGTCATTCTCTTTGACAGCTTTCTTTCAGATGTGCCCATTTCTCATGTGAATGAGTATGTTCCCTGTTCGGCTGGGAATTTATCAATTCTTTTTTGTTGTTGGAGACAGGGCCTCAACTATGTGGTCCAGGCTGGCTTTGAACTCTGGATCCTTCAGCCTCCACCTCCTGAATGGTGGGATTACAGGTGAGGGCCACCATGCCAGGCATCCCATGGTGATAATGAACATTTAGAGCCCTGGACCCATTATGGGGCAGCTGTGAGGCAGTGTTGGGCTACCCTCATGAGGAGTGCACTGCTAACCTGATCCCATGGCAACAGGGATTCACTGCTCTCTCAGAGACCAAGGAAGGAATTTGCTACATGGCAGGTTGGCCAATTCTGCCTTGTGGCTAAACCCTAGTGACTAACCTATAAAACGATTCAATAATGGTCCCTTTAGAACAAATTGGCTCTATGGTGGCCCCACATAAGCACTTAAGACTACTCACCACTCCCTCTGCTCATCAGCCTGAGTAGCATTATACAGATCTAGGTGTAACTTAAGGAATTATTCTCTTCCTCTTCTTTCCTCCATTCATTATTCTTAGTCCCCATCTGGCCCATACACAGCTTTGAGCAAATACTGAGTAGCTAAATGAGAACTGCAGAAAACGTGCGGCCGTGCACCACTTAACAAAAGCAGTTACTTCTCAAGGCTTCTCCTAAGCTGGTTCTAGATAGGGCCTCCAGAAGAATATATTTCTATTCATTCTTATGCCCAGGTCACAGTATATTATTAGTATTTATTTATATTTGATATGATTTGTATAATGTGCTAGGAGCTGTTTCTAAAGCAGAACAAGGTCACTCACCATGGAAAGTTTGTATAGTCTAGTAGGAGACAAATGAAACTAGGAATTGCAACATGGGATAAAGGTAAGAAGAAAGATAAGGTAGGTATAAGGTGCTGAGAAAGCACTAAATAAGAAGACCTGAGGAATTAAAGTCTTAAGTGGAGTTTAAGAGATTTCTGGCTTGACTAACAGAAGATATACTATTCACTGAGATTTTAAAGAGGGAAGAAATAAAGGCTGGAAGAGGGTGAATATAATGAGTCTGGTTTAGATATATTAAATTTGATGTGTTTGTAGGAAATTTAGTTGGAAAGGGCCAGTCTTTTCAGGAGATAGCCAGGTTGGATAGAAGACTTTCAAAGCTGTCAGGTGGTAATCCAATCATGGAATTGACTGGTATTTCTCAGGGAGCTGGTGGGTGCCAACACTCTCTGGTTTATCTGACCCACCCACCTACATCTCTGTAACATATTAAGGTAGGTTCCCAAGACTTAATGACTTTTTCAGTCTGCTTTAAAGTTCAGGATTCTCCAGCTTGTCCCCTCCACAACCTTCTGACAACGTTCTCTTGCTTCACGATCCAGAATTCCCAACCAATTGCAGTGCTTGCCTACAAACCCCTTCCTTCCTAGCACAGGATTCTGCCTTTCCCAGTGGGCAGACCCGATGGGTAACCCTTCAGAACAGAGGGAGGCTGCAGGCAGCCCCTGCAGAGGAGCGCCGCAGGACAAACCGCCGAGCTGAGGCTGCGACGGGACCCGCACTGCACGTAGAGGTAAACACGAAGCCCGCACTGGCCCCCACCTAACTCCTGCCCCTCGCCTTTCACGGTCCAGGGCTTTCAGGACACCAGGACCCCCACTCCTCGCACTCCCTCCAGAAGAGGGAGGTGGTGCTGGCCCACGGGAGCCGAGCCCAACCCCCCCGGTGGGATTCAAGTCCTGGGCTGGACGAGAAATGTCTCCCCCTTCCCCCCTCTCTTTCTTTCGTCACCCCCATTCTTCATAATTTCGAAAACCTCCAAGTTAGAAAACAAAACGAGAAACCAAACTCAAAACATGAGACGGTGCACTACACCCGTCGGTCCAGACGAACACATAACGGGGAGGGGGCACTCGGTCCGCAGCCATGGGACCCCAAACCCTCCTCCCTGCAGCCCCGACCCCACAGCCCGGTACACCGCAGCCTCTCGCCCCAAGAGCATCCCAGCCTGTGGCCCGGGGCCCTCCCCGATCTCCGAGTCGTGACTACAGAGGCCCCCGGGAGCTCCGGCCCCCTGCAGCACCGCCCCGCGCCAGCCACCCACCCGGACGTCCCAGCCTCGCGCCTGCGCACTGCGCGGAGGCGTCGGGGGCGGGCGGCCTGAGGCTCCGCCCCCCGGAGGGGCCTGCGAGCCGCCGGGAAGGGCTTTACCTCACTCGCAAGCCGTGCAGTGTGGACAACGGAGGCGGAAGCAGTCGTGGCAGGATGAGTGCAGGCTCCGATCCCGTGGTCATCGTCTCGGCGGCACGGACCGCCATAGGTGAGTGGTCGGCGTGCCCGGCGCGGGGTCCCAGCTACCTGCCCCTCTGCATGCTCACGGAGGGCCGGACTTGGGGGAGGGGCAGTGAAGAGGAGCGAGCGCGGGGCCTGGCCGGGTGGGGATCCTCGGGATCTCCGGAGCCCCGCGCCTCGTTGCTTCCCGGCCCGCCCCCTTCTCGCCTGGTGTGCCGGCTCCGCCCCTCGTGCTCGGATTGGCTCCCCGCGGTAGAGCCACCGCGCTGCCCGGTTTCCCATTGGTTGCCGCAGGCAGGGACCCTCTTTCGAGATCCCTGATTGGCCGGCTCCGCGAGGCGCTATCCATCTGCGGGTGGTGGCCTGAGCGCCAACTCCGTACGGGGGTCGGGCTGGTCAAACAGCAATTAGCGGTCGAAGCCCCATCTCTAGTGCCGCAGAGTTCCGCAAGCCCTCGGCCCGCCCGAGCGCCGGCGGCTTTTGTTTGGGAAGCATGGCGCCCAGTCCCCCCCGTCGGTGTTCTTCCCAAACGACGCCCGTCTTGCTGGGTGCGGGGCCAGGTGGCTTCTGCATTGTCCTCGGGCTTCAGGTGTCTCTGTCTCTCTCCGCCATTCTGTCGCAGGCTCCTTCAATGGTGCCTTGTCTGCTGTGCCTGTCCAGGACCTGGGCTCGGCTGTCATCAAAGAAGTCCTGACCAGGGCCAAGGTGGCTCCGGAGGAGGTGTCCGAGGTCATATTCGGACACGTTTTGGCAGCAGGTAACCCAGTGGACCCAGTGGACCCCCGGCTGTTGACGATCACCCTGTCACCGCACGCTGGCCCGCTGGCCTCCCCTGCTCGATTCCAGCTCCAGCCCTTCCTGCAGACCCACCCTCCCCAGCTTCATCTCAGCCACTGCCCTCCTGGCCCACTGCCCTCCTGGCCCACTGCCCTCGCTCTCTAGAAGCAGGCGGCCACGCGTGACTGTCCCCGCAGTGTCACACTTGCGGTGGAAATGTATGTGCCAGGTGCCGGGCTCGCTGCCGGGACACTGGCCCTGACCGCACGGCCAGTGCCCTCCCCTCGGGCTCACCTGTGTTGGGGAGAGCTGCTCCTCACCGGCAGGGTCCTGGAGGAAGACGGGGAGTCCTGATGGGTGACCCTCTTCCTTCTGAGTCCTGAGGATGTCCCTCTTCTGAGTCCTGAGGATGACCCTTTTCCTTCTGAGTCCTGAGGATGTCCCTCTTCCTTCTGAGTCCTGATGGGTGACCTTCTTCCTTCTGAGTCCTGAGGATGTCCCTCTTCTGAGTCCTGAGGATGACCCTCTTCCTTCTGAGTCCTGAGGATGTCCCTCTTCTGAGTCCTGAGGATGTCCCTCTTCCTTCTGAGTCCTGATGGGTGACCCTCTTCCTTCTGAGTCCTGAGGATGACCCTCTTCCTTCTGAGTCCTGATGGGTGACCCTCTTCCTTCTGAGTCCTGAGGATGTCCCTCTTCTGAGTCCTGAGGATGTCCCTCTTCCTTCTGAGTCCTGATAGGTGACCCTCTTCCTTCTGAGTCCTGATGGGTGACCCTCTTTCCTTCTGAGTCCTGATGGGTGACCCTCTTCCTTCTGAGTCCTGAGGATGTCCCTCTTCTGAGTCCTGAGGATGTCCCTCTTCCTTCTGAGTCCTGATGGGTGACCCTTGCTAGTTAGTTGTTAATAACGAGCGTTGGATCTCGGGGTGTAGATCGGGAGAGTGCATGGTTAAGCATTCATGTGGCCATGGCGTACTCCACCCAAACCCCCAAACCATAAAAATGAGTTACATGGGCATTCAGTGGCATAAATGCCGATTAATTGTAATTATCATTAGCAACATTTAAAAGCAACTGCTGCTAGGCACTGGTGACTCACGCCTGTAACTTCAGTTACTTGGGAGGGTGAAAGGCTGAAATCAGTAGGTTCTCATGGCAAAAAGTTCATGAGACACCATCTCCAAAGTAATCAGGGCAAAATGGATTGGAGGTGCGGCCCAAGCGGCAGAGGGCCTGCTTTGTAAGCACAAGGCCCTGAGTATAAACCCCAGTTACCCCTCACCCCACCCCCCCCAAAAAAAACTTCTGTTCTTGCCTTTTGTGTGTGTGTGAGGGTTGACTAGGCTGTCCCATCCTGGAACTGAAGTGCTTCCCTTTTGTTGGCTCACTGAATCCTGCTCATAAGTCTGTTGAATCCTGTTGCCATTTTAGAAATGAGTAAATGAAACTTTGAGAGATGAGGTAACTTACCAAGGTCACCAAAGTGGAGCTAGTACTTGAACACAGATCCAAGGCAGGTACTCTACCGCTTGAGCGCTACCTCCAGCTCAGTGCTTCTTTATTAACCCTAAGTGCCTTCAAGATGGAGGGTATACAAGAAATACATAAAATTTGGGCTGGGAATGTAGCTCAGTGGTAGAGCTCTGGCCTAGCATGCACAGGTTCTGGGTTTGATCCCCAGCATCTCAAGGAAAAAAAACCAAACCAAAACAAAACAAACAAACACCTGCCTAGCAAATGTGAGGCCCAGATTTCAAACCCCAGTACTGCCAAGAAAACCCCACAAAACAAAAAATTCATCCTTTTGTTTGTTTTTGGCAGGACTGGGATTTGATTCTATAACAATTTTGTGCGTGTGCTGCTGGGGATTGAATGCCAGGGCCTTCACTTGCCTAGTGTGTACTAAGCAAGTGCTCTGCCACTGAGCTGCATTCCCAGGCTGGAACTGGGGTTTGAACTCAGGGCTTCACGCTTGCAAAGCAGTTGCTCTACTGCTTGAGCCACATCTCTAATCCACAAAGCAAATTTTTATAAAGGAGTTACTTGCCTAAATGCAAATGTAAGTTCATTGTAGCTTAAAAAGCAAGAACCTTATATTATTTTCTAAGTGTCTGATATGAGTTTAATTCAGGAAATATTTTGATAATGACTTTTCAGTCTAACTTTATCAGTTTTTATCTTTGAGACTAATCCCAGATTAATAACACTGTGATGGATATAATTTTTAAGTTTTGTCAGTGAACCATCTGTTAGATGTTTTTGTATTGTTCTGTTTTTGATGGTGCTGGGGATTGAACCCAGGAATTTACACATGCTAGGCAAGCACTCTACCACTGAGCTACATCCCCAGCCCTTGGGTTTTTGAGAAAGAATCTTGCTATGTAGCTCAGGCTGGCCGGAAACTCAAACTCCTTCTGCCTTTTCCTCCCAAGTGCTTGGATTAAAGGTATGCCAGCACCATGTATGACTTTGTTAGATTTTTTTCTTTTTTGAACAAACTCCAAAGAAGGTCCTAGAATTGGGTATATCTGAAACTTTATTTAGAGTGACTACTCTAAATATTTACTGTTGACCGTTTGATAACAGACAGTAGTGCATGGATGTTTGAAACTTTTAACTCCATCCCCTCCCTTCTCTGCTACTCCCCCACTAATGGAAGTTATCTCAGTTCTGACTGAGGGCATCTGTTAGTTCTGATTTTGTGCATAACTTGTTAAGTAACCACTAATCCATGATGTGATGAATAATAAGCAAGAAAAGACCTGTTTCTTTTCAGAGGGTTTCCTCTTTAAGTAACTCTCCTTTTCTCATGGGAGCAAAAGGCTGCAGTTGGAAATGTTAATGCCTATGTTCTGCTTCATGTGTGTAAGAAGTGTGTGGGTAATACTCCTTGGCTAATACACTTGGTTTTAAGTTTCCCATTGTGAAGAAAAGTCAAGCTCTATCAAAAGACAGATATTACAGCTCTGTCTTAAGGTATTACCTTTTTGTGGAGGTGAAGGTGTGTATCTGACATACCTAGCGAGTACCACAAGGCAGGATATAAGCACAGGCTAGACTGTGAAGTTGGAAGTGTTTAGGCCTTTCTGCCTTTGGTGAGAACTTGGCTGTAGGCTTTCACAAGTGGCAGGTGACCTAGTTGGCAGTTTTGCATGCACTTGCACCCTGATAGCGTACCTTTCTCCTTGATTGCTGAGAGGCCTCTGTGTTCTTTCTTCCAGGTTGTGGGCAGAATCCTGCTCGACAAGCCAGTGTGGGTGCAGGGATCCCCTACTCTGTTCCAGCGTGGGCCTGCCAAATGATCTGTGGGTCAGGCCTCAAAGCTGTGTGCCTTGCAGCCCAGTCCATACGGACAGGTGACTCCAGCATTGTGGTGGCAGGAGGCATGGAAAGTATGAGCAAGGTAAGGCCTCTCAGGAGATGCCTCCCATTGGCCTCTGTGGTCACCTCATGGCCCTGTCACAGCTGAGCAAGATGGTGCATATGAGAGCTTAAATGAAACGGTGAACAAAAACTGGATTTTACCTTGACCCCTACCTGAATGTTTATTATTCTTAGATTGATTGCGAAGTCCCATTTAAAAAAAGCCTATCAACCAGTGCCAGTAGAACAGAATATATTTTTCTAAACTGCTGTTTCTGAGGCATGCAATATTTTCTGAATTAAACCCATAATATTAGTTGATGGATTTCCTTGGTTGGATTTTATTTTATTTATTTATTTTTTTGGTTTTGATTTTGAGAGGGGGTCTCACCCTGTAGCCCAGGCTAGCCTGGAACCTGGGATATAGGCCAGGCCGCCCTTGAACTCACAATCCTCCTGTCGCTGCTCCTGAGTGCTGGAATTACAGGTATGAACTACCATGCCTGGCAATATCCTTGATTTTAAATTTCTTTCCCATTGTGAGGAAAACTTAACAGTCAGTTGTTGCCACTTACCTTCAGTTATATGATAAGGAGGACCCCAGGAATCAGACTTTGTTGACCTTTTGGAGGTATGGAACATGAAAAAAGCCATGGTGGTAGCCTATAGTTGCAGCTGCTTGGAGGACTGAGGCAAGAGGATCACTTGAGTCCAGAAGAAGAGACTAGCTTGGGCAGCATAGCAAGACCTTGTCTCATGACAAGAACCAAAACACAAAAATGATTGTAGGAAGGAGGGCCCGGGGACTGGGTGGAGCCCTTCTTCAGTAGCTTTGCTGGGTGGGATTTGTTTTCGCGAAGTTCTGTCCTTCACATTGGCACAATAGTAAAAAATACATCTCTGCTTCCTAGTGAGGCAGCTCAGGGTCTGACCTAGGAATCTGCTAGGCAGAGACCAGTTCAGCGCAGCCATTGCAGAGGCTCAGGAGGAGGCCAAGTTGAAGAAAGCAGAAATGGTCAGTGCGATTCTGATGGCATTGTACCAACATCACCAAAGCGTGTACTTCCCAGTAAGAAAACCAGTTCCCAAGCCAATTTAAATGCGACCATTTGGGCTCCAAGCCCATTCCTCTTTCCATTTTCTTCTAGATGTTACTGAGTTGGTAGAAGTTAAGAATACCTACTCAGAATTTCCTGCCCAGTTAATTCGGCCATGTGATTATTCTCCCTGTAGGGTTATATGTCGTGAGCATAAGTAATCATTGGTAGCACTGTTTAAGCCCTTAGTTAACCTCTTTATTTAATAGAGTTTTAGTTGCCTGTTTGGAAAGATAAATAGGATTCCTAAGGAAATAAGATACAGAAATGGGCATGTAGGAAAGTAATGGATTCCTAAGAGGAGGAAGGGGTTGTCTGCCAATCCCAGGGATCTTCAGGTCCTGGCCTGGGGAGGAGCTGGTAGTCAGGAAAGGGATACAAAGGGGAGTAAATGAAGCCTGGGGAAGTGCTAGATGGTTCTGAGTGGAATCCTGATGAGAGGACTAATCACAACCAAACCTAAATCCATTTCTGTTTCTTATTCCAGGCTCCTCACCTGGCTCATCTGAGAACAGGAGTGAAGATGGGTGAGATGTCACTAACTGATAGTATACTCCACGATGGCCTTACAGATGCATTTCACAACTATCATATGGGTATCACAGGTAGGCAGATGTAGGTGAAAGTGCACTAACTTTAAAACGGTTGACAAAAAGCACATAATATCAGTGAGTCTTGTTGTCTCATGCTCTAGGTCTGGCAAGGAAGCTGAGGTGTGAAATGGTGCCCAGAGAGTAAGTGCGTGTTTTTCAGGCACTTCGTGAAGGGTGGCCAGGTGGCCAGCATTTGCTTCAGGCCTAATGCACTTAGGCAAGGAGACAGTCTGTGTGCTTCAATACATGTTGGCTCACTGACTCCATCCTCAAGTTCCCACACAGTGTCTGCCAGAAGTGTCACCCACAAGCTGGCACAGATATCAATACAAATTGGGCCAGCTACAAGATTGGTCAAGAAGATAAAAGCCAGAGACAGGAAAGCCAAAATCACAGATTTTGATCATTTTAAAAGTTACGAAGGCAAAGAAAATGAGCAGCATAAGTCAGGCGCTGGTGGCTCACACCTATAATCCTAGCTAATCAGGAGGCAAAGATCAGGAGGATTGCGGTTCAAAGCCAGTCTGGGCAAATAGTTCTCAAGACCCTATCTCAAAAAAGCCTATCACAAAAAAGGACTGGTGGAGTGGCTCAAGGTGTAGACCCTGAGTTCAAACCCCCGTACTGTATATATAAAAAAAAAAAAATAGAATAATCAAGATGAAATTAGGAAAGTTTAAAGAGTAACTCTCCAGCTCTTTTTTAAGGGTTATCCGGGGCAAGTTTGCACCAAACCAACAGCTATAGTTGTGGCAGTTCTGTCTTTAGCTCCACAGTGTTTTCCTTGGCCAAAAACTGCCTAGAGTTGTCTCCAAGTTCGAAGCATTCAGCAAACAATGGTAAGGCAGAGCCACCAGAAAAGGAGATCTGATTTCCATGACAAGTATGGTAATGCTGTTTTAGCTGGTGGGCCGCTTTCTGTATTGCTGTGTGGACATACACAGCAACACAGATCGGAATAGAGTGAAACCTTTCTCCTGTTGGCAGAGTCACCCCAAAGGAATGGAGAAATCAGTAATCATGCCAGCTGGTATAACACTAAATTGTTTCAAAACCAACTTATAGTTGATGCCAAATAAAAGCACTGCATACCCATTAAAAGATGGTATATTGAAGAAATAAAGCACATTTGAAACCTTAATTTAAAAAGAAAGGAAACAGCTCCTGAAAGTGCCTCCGTATTGCTAAAGCAGCAAATGCGGCCGCTGCTCTGGCTGCTAAAGCTAAATAACAGGGAAAAAAGATGACCACTGAGGCAGGCTAGAGGTTCCTGCCCAGAAAGCCACAGGCCAGAAGTTCTGGGAACTCAGAAGAGTCAGAACACCTCAGCCCAGAAAGCACTTGCTCCAAAGGCGTCTGGCAAGAAACCCAGGAGCCTGTTCGGACAGTAAAGCGTCATGTCGTCTCCTTCTTAGGTGTGTTCCTCCTTACAGGCAGAGACCATGTCCTGGTGCCCTGCTTTCACATAGGTCCTCTTTGATGAACTAAAGTGAGCAAATAAATATTCTGTCTACTTTGTGAATATTTGACATTAGAGAATGGTAGAAGTTAGAGAAACCTCACAGTTCTTCTGAATCCATCCCTACATTTTACGAATGAGGAAATGGGGCCCACAAAGAGTGGTTCTGTGGCAGAGGCATTATCAGCGCTGAACCAGTATTTCTGGTACTGCACAACTGAGTCAGAAGTAATGTGTCTCGAAGGCCCCTGTGTTCTACATTTACTGACAGTGCAACTGGGACCTTGGAAGAATCCGGACCCAAATCTTTATTATATATAAATGTTAAACTTAACAAATAGAATGGACATTAGATTTTAGGGTTAAGGAAACAGCTCTTGAGAAATTAAGCACCTTGCTCAGGTGCATGCAGCAGTGGCTGTGGTTATAAATCAGGTGCAAAAGATAATGGGGGGAAAAGGTGAGAGTCCCAGCAGAGGGGACAATTTGTGCAAATGCAGGGAGAAGAGTAGGTCTTGGAGATGTGGCCAGCAGTGAGAAGCTCAAGGCATCTGTGCATGAATGAGAGCCACAGTAAACAAGGCTGAAGAACACCAGCAGACTGTGGAAGGTGCTGAGGACCTTAGCTGGGTCTTAGTGCCCTAGTGTCTAGGCCAGAGTTTCTGATGTAATACTCAGACAACTGATTCAACATCACCAGGGTGGTCATTACAAATTCAGATTCTGTTGGGGCATCAGTGACTTACACTTATAATCCTAGCAACTCAGGAGGGCAGATACCAGGAGGATCGAGGTCCTCCAAAGCCAGCCTGGGCAAATAGTTCCTGAGACCCTGTCTCGAAAATACCAACACAAAAACAGGGCTAGCAGTATGGCTCAAGTGGTAGAGTGCCTGCCTAGCAAGCGTCAGGCTCTGAGTTCACACCCAGTACCAATAAAAACAAACAAAAAAACCCCCTGGAAATAGCCCAGGTTTCTATCAACAGGTGAATGTAACAAAGAGTGGTACACTGCTCAGAATTAAAAGGGAAAAACTACTGATAAACTCAGACATGACTGAGTCCTACAAACATGCTAAATAAAAGAAGCTGAGTTGCATTTAGTCTCTAGTTAAAGAATCAGAACATTAATGCTTTAGGGTGAGGGAGCCTGGTAAGGCGCCTGTGAGAATCTTTAGGGTGGTTCAGAAAGACAATATTGAACAGAGCAAAAATATTAACGGTTAGTCTTGATACAGGTGAAAGTTTACACTTTCAAGTTTGCACTAGAAAGAGTAAGAGAGAGTGATGGAAGAAAGAAAATGGTGTCCTTAGAGTCACTGCAGTTTTCTGGTGCACTGCTAGGGGAGGAGGCGCACCTGGCAGAGCCCTGCCCCTCAGCTCACTGGAGATCCTGCTAGTGTGTGCAGTCAGCATGTGAGCAACTTGAGCTACCAAAACTCAGCTCGTGAAAATGTTGAGTTTTTGCTGTTTTTTTTCCCCTTTAGCTGAAAATGTTGCCAAAAAATGGCAAGTGAGTAGAGAAGACCAAGACAAGCTTGCAGTTCTGTCCCAGAATAGGACAGAGAGTGCACAGAAAGCCGGCCATTTTGACAAAGAGATCGTACCAGTCTTTGTGTCTTCTAGAAAAGGTGAGTGTATAAACTGTAATGATTTAAATATTGACTTATATACAGTTAATGTCTAAAACAATAATAAGTAGGAATGTTTATAAATTTTATCTTAGTTGGTTTTCTTAGGTTGCAAAGATGGGTCTTGGATGCATCTGAATGTGGAAAGGGATGATGAAAAAGTGGGATATGGTAACAGGGGAACAGTCAACGTAAGTGTCCATGGCTGCTTTGTATGGCCAGTAAGTCTCATGGTGTATTGGCTCATGGTTGTTAGGAGGTGACAGCTAGCCTGTTTGCCCTCCAAAGGGGTAGTGGTGGGGGATGCTTAACCTCCACTGTGTCCTGTTGCTCATGTGTGCACCTCACATTCACTTTTCTAGAGGTGGGTCTTTTTGAGTCACCTGCTGTGATCTAATACAGAATGCTGCAGTCAAGTTCCCTTGTGGATAACTGACATCTCAGGTCCAGCTCATATGGGAGGCTGTGAGAGTCCTGATCCACTCAGATGTAACAAGCCAAAGGCTGTTACAAACCATAGCACCTTGTGCATGTACAACTCATAACTGCTTTCCTTGGGAAGGGTTTGGGAAAACATTCAAAACATCTCACAACGGCAATTCTCACAAAATGGTTTTTTTTCCCCACAAGATATACAAAAGATACTTATTATAAACTTATGAACAAGCGCTTGAGTCAGAAATGTCATTTTCCTTTTACCAGACTCCTAAAATGTTTTAACACTTTTTTGTTGTTGTTTTCTGTGTGGGGGACTGGGGCTTGAACTCAGGGCTTTATACTTTTAAAGCAGGCACTGTACTGCTTGAGTCACACCTCCAGTCCATTTTTTGCTGTGGGTATTTTGGTGATGGAGTCTTGAGAACTATTTGCCAGGACTGGCCTCGAACTGCCGTGCTTGTAGGATTACAGGCATAAACCACTGGTACCCAGTCCACAGTTTTGTTTTTTTGTGGTACTGGGGCTTGAACTCAGGGCCTACACCTTGAGCTACTCCACCAGCCCTTTTTTTTTTTTGTGAAGGGTTTTTTTGAGATAGGTCTCACAAACTATTCACCCACGTTGGCTATGAACTGGGATCCTCCTGATCGCTGCCTCCTAAATAGCTTGGATTACAGGCGTGAGCCCCAGCACGCGGCTAAATTAAGTGTCTCTTTTCTGGTCCTTTCTTTTTTTACTTACCTATTTTTTTGGTGGTACTGAGGTTTGAAATCAGGGCCTCCACTTGCTAGGCAGACACACTCTACCACTTGAGCCACTCTACCAGTGCTTCCATAGTAATTCTTGTGTGTATTTTCCTCCTATTGGAATGAAAGTAGGTAGACGCTAACACTTTTCTGCCAAATGTGAGTCCTGTTTTTGAGAAACATTCACCACCATCTCTGCACTAATCTTGGGGAACTGGTTTTACTCTTTTCAGGTCTAACTGAAGTTAAAACAGATGAGTTTCCTCGCCATGGGAGTAACCTCGAAGCCATGTCCAAGCTAAAGCCTTACTTTCTAACAGATGGGACAGGAACAGTCACCCCAGCCAATGCTTCAGGTTTGATGTCTGAAGGGTATTTGAGGGGAATACCATCTTTTTTAAGGTCTACCTCATAAATACTTCTTTAGGAAATATCTTGTAGTTTCTCTGCATTTGATTATTGACTTAACCTATACTAAGAATTGATTTGGTTTCTTTTTTAGACATGGGAAGACAGGGTCTTGCTGTGTAGCCCAGGCCAGCCTCAAACTCACAGTCCTCCCGCCACAGACTCCCAAGTGCTGGGCTTACCCAGCTTGATTTAGTTTCATGACATCTCAAGTAGACACACATATAAAAAGAATAAATTAAGAACTCGAGTTCAGGATGAGCATGGTGGTACATGACCATAATCCCACTACTCGGGAGGCCCTGATTCGAGTCTAGCTACCTTTATACTTTCCAGTATCAGAAATGCCCAGTACTCCTTGTGAGGCCTGAGTTTATTTCTTCCATTTTCTTTACTAGGTCTCCCCTCCCCCACTGATATGGGGGAAAATCTGGTTGTAATGTTCTGTGGTCAACTAAATCAGACTCCAAACTAACATTTCTAGCTACACTGTGAAGTCTGCTGAATGTAACTCAGTGTCTTAGGCAAGAAAGCAGGCAGATACAGATAAGCTACTGAAAGAGCACTGTGCACAACTCCCTCATGTTTTACAGGCATAAATGATGGTGCTGCGGCTGTGGTTCTTATGAAGAAGTCAGAAGCGGATAGTCGTGGGCTTACACCTTTAGCACGATTAGTTTCCTGGTCACAAGCAGGTGTGGAACCTTCCATTATGGGGACAGGTCCAATTCCAGCCATAAAGCAAGCTGTGAGTGTAACTATTTACACATTCTCTCTTCTCCGCTACATTGATAGGAACTCTGAAATCAGATTAATAACTTGTAATTCTGTGCTGTTATTCCTATTAGGTCTCATTTGCTGTTTGTATTTTGTAAAATGACTTGTCTTCTCCTTAAGTGAGTTTAGTTCTATTTCCAGTTTCTCCCTATTGTGAAGAGTAGCCAAGAACATCTGGATCACTTTTTTTTGGTAGTACTGGGGTTTGAACACGGGGTTTGGCCCTTGTGAGGTAGGTAGGTCCTCTGTAAAGCTTGAGCTGGATCCTTTTTTGGTGGAACTAGCATTTGAACTCTAGCCTTCACACTTGTTAGGCAGGTGCTTTGCCACTTGGGCCACTCTGCCATACTACAAACCGTTCTGCTATTCTTACCCTGCACATACATCCAACTGTATTGTTAGACGGTTACAATTTCTCCTTTAAGGCTTGTTTTAGAATACATTCTTTGGAATTAATGTTGCTAAGGGAAAATGTTTATCACGTAGGAACACTCCACAGTGGCATTTCTTTTTTTGGTGGTACTAGAGATTGAACCAGGGACTCATATATACTAGGCAAGTGCTCTGCCACGTGAGTCACATCTCCAGCCCTCTTATTTTAGTCTATGTAGTCCAGGCTGGCGTTAAACTTGAGATCCTCCTGCTTCAGCCTGAGTTCAGTGTTAGGATTGTAGGCATGCACGTGGCTTATGGTTTTCTGGTCCTTTAATGTCAGTTTTCTGTCAACAATCGCTTGCCAGGCGCCGATGGTTCATGCCTGTAATCCTAGCTACTCCGGAGGCAGAGATCAGGAGGATTGCAGTTGGAAGCCAGCCCAAATACTTTGCAACATCCTATTTGGAAAATACCCAACACAAAACAGGGCAGAGGACATGGCGCAAGTGGTAGAGGGCCTGCCTAGCAAGCAGGAGGCCCTACATTCAAACTCCAGTATCATGAAAAAACAAAAAAATGGCTTAAGTTCATCCTTCCCACCTAAGTTTCTCATTCATTTTTCCTTTAGGTCTCAAAAGCTGGCTGGTCTCTGGAGGACGTGGATGTATTTGAAATCAATGAAGCCTTTGCAGCTGTTTCTGCTGCAGTTGCTAAAGAACTTGGACTAAACCCAGAGAAGGTAAACACAAGCAAGTTGTCCTGAGAGTCTACAATCACCATTTACAACACGCTCTTACAGCTGTAAACAGTATTAAATTAGGTGTTTTCCAGGTTTGGACACTTGGTAATGGATGAAGTAAAGTTTCTACTGGGACTCACTTATTTTCAGTTTACTGAGAACATGAAGTAAACAGTTTACTTCAGCAGGGCATTGTGAAAAGAACAAGGGAAGGTAGTCAGCAGTAGATGTCACAGGCATGAGTTTATTCCTAAGCAGTTACAGTGAAAACTGAGCTTGAAAGGGTGGTGTGCTGGCGTAACATTTAAGAGGAAAAAGACAAACCTGGGATTTTAAAGCTCCATCCACAGAATAAATGACTTTAAATCTTTTCTTTCCTCTTAGGTCAACATTCAGGGAGGGGCTATTGCTTTGGGCCATCCTCTTGGAGCATCTGGATGTCGTATTCTTGTGACTCTGCTATACACGCTGGAGAGAATAGGCGGAACCCGTGGTGTTGCAGCTCTGTGTGTTGGGGGTGGGATAGGAATAGCAATGTGTGTTCAGAGAGAATGAACTGCTCAACAGTCATTTCTCTTGCACCTCATTTGTGAAACTAATGAAGTACTAAATTACAATATGTGAAATCAGAGGACCAAAGCTAAGGACAGAAACCATCTTCTACTTCACAAAAATCCAAGTTGACAGCTTGCTGTACTTTAATGTGTACCAAGGTGTAAGATACTGCATCTAGTAACATTGTTATAAATAAAAAGGGAAAATCAGATCAGTCATCAAGGGCTCCAGAGTGAACAGCATCTTCATAACCTCCATGTTTATCATCTTTACTTTCTGGGTGTAACTTTATAAGATCATCAATTCGAAGAATGGTAATTGCGGCTTCTGTTGCAAATTTCAAGCTCTTCACTTTAACTATGGTTGGTTCGAACACCCCTGCTTGCTTGTTGTCTCGTGGTTTACCATTGATCAAATCAAGACCAATCCTGTAATTAGGGGAAAAAAACTGATTAAGTACTTGATTAACCTCTTCAGATTAATTTGATAGGCTTATTATAGCTATTCCATTCAAACCTTAGTCCTGAGAAATGCTAGGACCTGCAAGCGTAACACTGAGTATTGCGAAGAGGCTGATATGGGGCTGTCTTGGTTTGCGTAAAGACACATTTCTCAGAATGTATCCCCTGTAAGCTGTGCATGACTGTGTAAGGAGGCCGGCTGAAAACAGATACGGAGCATTCTAAAATCCTATTCTCCTGGACATTCCTGTAGTAAAATGACTACCAAGTGAAGCAGGCTAAGAATCAGTTGTTAACCAAGATATACCAGTGTAAATTATGAGTGACTGAATAATAAACCCTTGTGATGCTCTAAGTATTTGTGCCAAGTCTAATTATCTTTTAAAATGCTATTTTCCAAAGACCAGGAAGGGCTAAAAAAATTTGTCACAGAACCAAGGTACCATATGTGATAAATAAATAAATGAACAACACAGGGAAATCAGGTGTCAGTGGCACAGGCCTAAAATCCTAGCTACTTGAAAGGCTGAGATTGAGATGAAAGAAAAACAAAGGAGGGCAGGAGGAAAGAAGGAAGAGATAGGGAAATTGTATGCTTACCATTTTAGATTTTTACGCTCTGGGTTAACCTGAGCTTCATTATGAAAAGCTCTTAACTTTGCAACCAGATCGGTGGAGTCCTGGGCAGCATTAACTGCCAGTGTGTTAGGAATGACAAGAAGAGATCTTGCAAACTCAGCAATAGCAAGCTGTTCTCGAGACCCCTAAGGAAAAAAAAAAACATTATCTTTTCACAAAAGAAAAAAAATTAAAGCCCACACCAGCAGCTAAGCTTTTAGACAGTGTATTAATAAAACACAAGCTTAATCCTCACCTCCCACACCCTTTTTGAAAATAAACAACTCTTACCATGCTGGTTGCATAGTTTTCAAGGTATATGGAAAGGGCTGCTTCTACAGCGCCCCCGCCTGGGACCACTGATTTCGACTCCAAAACTCTCTTCACTACACAAAGAGCATCATGTAGAGAGCGCTCCATCTCGTCACACATGAAATCATTTGCCCCACGTAAGATAACTGATGCAGATGTACGAGCTTTAGTACTATTAAGAAGAAAAATTCTTAGTATTTTCATAAAATAAGGTCACATATTAATTCACTGCAAGAACCCTTGATTAATCTCACTTAAGCAGGACATTTACACATACTGTACAAAAACGATGTCTAGACCATGCAGAAGAGATGAAATATAATTACTTCATCACAATTTACAACGGCCAAATATTATTTTATCCCATGCGTATAACTGCTCATATCATTGAAAGATTACAGCAGCAAATAAATGGGAAGGAAATTTATTTTTACTCAACAAATCTGCATAGTTTTACAATTTAGAAAGTAGTTCTTACTTTTTAATTAAGATGAGTTCATCATCACAAATTCTCTCCTGGATCACCTCTTCTGCTTGTCCCAACATTGTAGCTTCAAAAGTTTCTTCACCTTCCAAATTGGCCAAGGTTGACAGAATAGTTGCTAAGAGAGTTAAAGATATGTAAGTGTTTTCTTTAGTGATGATTTAATTAAATATCTTGTCTCAGATTCAGAAACACGTAAAAGTGACCCATCCATTTTAAGTTTAAGGTTTATAGTTAGGAATCAGACATGCAACTGTCGTATACTAAGATGGAACTGTCATTTGTGAGGTAAACAAAATCAGTTCATAAATTTCCAATGAACTCAGTAAATAACCTTTCCAGTTACATGAAAAACGGCTCTATAAATACACTTGTTGCCCAAACATGGCAAGTGAAAGTTTTTGAAGCTTAGTGTCAATATTCCAATGTAAGAAGACCTTTGACACAGTCACATATATTAAGGTGAGATATTTTATCTGAGAGCTCGCAGAAGACATACCTCCAGAGGCTTTAGCAATGCGCTTAAGGTCCCTTTTTAAAACTCTTCTAACTGCCATAGCGCCAGCCTCCACAAAATACTTCAGACACATGTCATCAATTCCACCAGTGGTTAGAACGACGTTAGCACCAGTTGCCAGGATCTTCTGAATTCTCTCCTTGGTGATATCCGATTCCCTACAAAGTATTTTTTTTTTTTTTTAAGAAACCCAAAACTACCTTCAGTATTTTTAAAATGCTACAACTTCCATTAAGTATTTTTCACAAAATAATTGTAGGCTAAATCACAACAATAGCTCTTTCCCATCTACAACCACAATTTAAATTAGTCCAATTCATGGAAAAATTTAAGGAATAAAAACCAATCACTTTGCTCTTCCACCTTCAAGTTTCTAATCATGAAGTGTGGTTAGAAAGAAAACAGGGACCCTGCCTCAAAGGATCTAATAGGGAAAGGAATTATTAATCACACTTCCTGGGCACGTGTCACTGAAAATATGCAGAGATTAGTACGAGGTATGAATCTAGCCTATGAAGTAGAACCATTAGTCAAGAAAGGGATTCAGAGATGAAACTACAAGGATTGGAGTGTGACTCAAATGGCAGAGCACCTGTCAAGCCAGCATGAGACCCTAGTTCAAACCCCAGTATTACAAAGAAAGCCTGCAGGAATAGGCAAGACCAAAAAAATGAAGAACTTTGCAGGAATAACTTCAATGTTCTATAGCACAGTAGGGTAACTGTGGCTGACAACTGAATACTTCAAAATAGTAGAGAAGGAAGGACTTGGAACATTCCTAATTCAAGTAAATCCTCAATCTCAGAGGTGACAGATACGTAGATCATCCTGATCCAACCTGCAAACACTATATATATATATATATATATATATATACTCTGTAACAGTTACTACAGGTCAATTAAAAATAGAAATATCCACAAGATTTGAATGAGCAGGGTCACACAGTAGCAGGCATGCAAAATCTTTCAGCATGTCAACTAAGGAACACCACCTGCAACCCTAGGCATAGTCAAATACTTAACTGCTGTGTTCTGTACTGTTTTTTGATGAAATAGAATCCTGGTTTTTACCTCTTCAATCTCAATATCCTCATAAAACCGTATTTCACAATAAGGGTATCACTCCAAATTTCTATTAAAAACATCACATTTTCTAAATTTCTGGGAGATAGCACTTTTTACTATCAACTGGTCCAACCTAAGAGTAATTTATTATCACCCCTTTTGAAGGCCAAAAATTGCCCAATATACCTCTGTCTGATTTGGTCCAACTTCTCTGGGTCTGTAATAACCACCTGTACACCAAGCTTCATTTTTGTTTTCTGCAGGCTGAAGTCAAGGCAAGCAATTTTTGCATTAACTATTCTCTTGGGCATGCCTATAAGTGAACATAATACAAGGTTAATTTGTAATGCTATGGTTCATAAAATACACCTACACTTAAAATTGTAAGAGTAGAAGAAAAACACATAAACCCAATTTAGATGGCAACTTATTAAACCTTAGAAAAGTTTAGTGGCATGTAATTTCTTTTTGCTTACACCCACTCTAACATTTCATATGTTCTTAAGTTACAAGCTATACTTGACTTGTTTGTTTTATACAAACAAAAAGCTGGTCTTAGACTATATTAATCTCATTCTGTGAACAATCCTGAGACTTACCCTGAGATCCCACCACACAGTTGAGTGCATAGCCATTGACTAGCATGCTTTCTGTCTGACTTCTTCCGTGGGCTTTCAGAATGTTAACAGAATTGACTGGGTAGCGAGCCTGGCCTCTTGCATCTGTGTATTTAATAGCAAGTACAGCATCTACTACCATATTAGAGAAGAAATCACCATTTCTACACCAACAATTAAGGATAAGAACAGACTCCAAATGAAGAAAGAATACATATGAAGATCCAAGGCAATTCAAAGGGACTTTGTTTTAGCAAGCTCATTCATCAAAGAAAAGCTTCTTTTGTTTTTCAAGACAGGGTCTCCCTATGTAGCCCAAGCTGGCTAGAAACATGCTAATTCTCAGTCTTCCTGCCTCTGCCTTCCAAATGCTAGGATTATAGATATGTCACCCTGTTAAAAAAAGGCACAGACCACCAAATTACTAGTTTTTACCACTGTGTGCAATTCAAATTGCCTTTATACATACTTTACAATGCTTTTGAGGGGGGGAAAGAGAAAAGACCATCCAAGGATACATTCCAATAATTTTGGAAGACATGGATGTCTTAGCAGCATTAATCAAGCAATCTCTTCCAAGCTCATCCGTATTAATAATTAGGTTTTCACTGATATAGCGTACTGCTTCCCTGTGTTAAAGTGTGGGAAAGAAAAACACAAATTCACCACTCAAACCTTTTCATTTCATCACATTTAAATGTCAAAATGTCACAGGCAATGATTTTCTGTTCAGCCATTTCATATAGAAGGAGGACAATGAAAAAATCCTCCCTCTTCAGATCATGGCACCTTTAATCTATCCCATAAGCATAGCCACTAAAATCTATTAGGAGAAAATGTGGTAGTCAAATGGGAAAAAGACACTAGCACTCATTCTTATTTCAAGTATTGCTACTTGAATGCTAAACACAACTTTCTCAAATAAAATTTTGCCATTTGATCAAAATTTAGTCAAAACAGTAAGAGACAGACCCTTTACAATAATTATATCAAACAAAAACATTTTCCCTTAATACAAACATTCTTACTTGCAAGCAAGTCGATAGCCACTAATAACTGATGTGGGGTGAATTTTCTGTTTGACTAGTTCGTCTGCATTTTTTAGAAGTTCTGCTGCAATAATAACCTGTTGAGAAAACATTCATTGCTCTAAGTATATAAGGACTCCATACATGCAATGCAGACATAAAAATAATACTAAAATGGTCACATAACCACAAAGGTAATTGTGGGGAAATGAACAGGCTATTGAAAAAAATCAAAATATTCTGTATACAAATGGCCAAAACTAGACAGAAGCCAGAAGAAGTCTAACAAACTAGTTCAACAGCACAACAGAAGAAAACACACCTCCCTATTCATTACTTTCAGAGATTGAATGCTCCACAAAATTTAAATTCCTGACTAGGAAAAATTTTTTAATTAAAAAGGCAAAAAATTCTGTATGGGGGGTATCTATGCTGTTCATTGGTTCAGTCACATTAATTACTTTCTCATGCTCACATTCTGAATTCCTGAAAGTGCATTTAAAATACAAGTTGAAAGCAAAAGTCTAAAAAAAAAAAATCCAAGTTGCAGGTAGTGAGGAGGACAGGAGACAACAATTCAGAAACCATTAAAAAAACAACCCTTTTGTCTGGGGCTAGGGGCATTGGCTCAAGTGGTACAGTGCAGTCTAGCAAGTGTCCTGAGTTTAAACCCCAGTACCACAAAACAAACAAAACCCTTCTCTAATGAATAAACATTGTGATACTGAAGACAGAAAGCACCCCAAACCTGAGTATTTAAAATGAGGGGCTATTTTTAATTATCTCAAGTTCCTTTCCTGTTTAAATTCTACAGACTGTTTCTGACCCAGAAATAAAACGTAAAGCCTCACTCAACTCTGGAAAAATAGCCATTCTTTACCTATTCCCCAGGTAACCACCTACCACTGAGGTAGTTCCATCGCCAACTTCTTTGTCTTGCAGGTCAGCCAGTTCACAAAGAACTTTAGCTGCAGGATGTTCTACCTCTAGTAACTTCAGGATGGTTGCTCCATCATTAGTTATGGTTACATCCTAAGGAATTTGAAGGGGAAAGAGGTCAGCATAAATGGCCTGCAGAAACATGCTCTTCCCTGTATTAACAAAGCACTATGATAACACACATTGAGCTTTAATATGCCTTCCAATACCAGGATTTAAATGAACATAAAGAATTTACAGAGCAAAATATTTAAGATTTTTTTCTTTAAAGCAACCAACAATCAGAGATGTACTTACACCAATGTCATCCACTAACATTTTATCCAAGCCAACTGGACCAAGAGAACTTTTTACAATATTGGCAATAGAAGCTGCAGCCATAACTGTAGACAATCAATGAAAAAAAAAAACAAAAATTTAAAAACTATGTCCAAAAAACATACACAGCACCTCAGTAGCCCAAATCAATACAACATTATTTTAAAAAGCACTAATTTAAAAAGTCTAATGAAGGACGCTAGCACATTTCAATTGTTAATGTACTGCATAACCTGATGTGAAGTGTTTTCTGGATGAGGCAGTACTGGAATTTAACTTGGGGCCTTTCACTTGGATATCAAGTGAAATCAACAGTTCATTGCTGGTTTTTTTTTTTTTTTTTTGGTGAGATTGGAATGGGGGGGATCTGATTAAAGCATGATGTATACATGTGTGAAATACCAAGACAAATCCCCCTTGAACTATCAATATACACTGAAAGAAAAAATGGAGGCCAGGAAGGTAGAACAGGTCCTTAGGGGAGGGTATCCGTGGAAAGGAGGAGAATATAAGAAAAGGGTGGAGGATGAATATGGTGGGCGTTACTTTGTATTCACGTATGAAAATGGAACAGTAGGACCTGTAGAAAGGAAGCATGAGGAAGAACGATGGAAGTGGTGAATCTATAATTAAGACATACTGTAAGCACATATGTCAATGTCACAATAAATCCCCCTGTACAACTATTATATGCTTAAAAAAAAAAAACCCACAAACGGTTCCTTGCTTCATAAAAAGGGTAATACTAGCCTTTTCCTTCATACCTTGGCAGGTGTTTAGAAAAGCAATCCTATTTAATTAGAGTACTTGTTTGTGATGTGAATAAATGAGCAGGGGAAGGTCCTGACTTCAGTTTCGTTTAAAGGAGAATAACGATCACAAACCGGAAAGAAGACGCTAGCGTGGCAAGCGCGAGGCCCTGGGTTCCATCCCCAACACCAAGAAAAGAAGCCCAACACTGCCAATCGCACACCTCCCAGAACAGCTCAAGCGACGAGCACAGGTGACAGGGCTTTCCTAACATCCCCTCGACGCTTGCTTGCTCCACGGTAAGGACCCGTCAGCCGCGCGTTCTGGACGCGGGGCCCCGGGCGTGGACTGCGGGGAGCGCGGAGGGGAGCAGCGCGAACGTCCGCAGCTTCGCCAGGCACGTGGTCGCCCGCGGGCCGCGCAGTCGAGCCTGCTCTCAAGGCCAAAGGCTGACTCGACCCGCCAGGCCAGGTCGGCCCCGATCGGCCGATGACCCATCCCCGCGAGAGGCCTTCCTGCCGAGGGACACTGACCGCTGGCAGGCGGGCAGCCACGCGCCGCCCCAGCGCCGCCCGCGGGCCAGAGCCAGGCCTCCGCCGCCCTTACCGTTCTGGGAGCGGATCGCCTCTCCAGTGCTGCGGTCTCCGAACACGGACAAAGGCCCTTCCATGTTCACGGCAGTCCAAGTTCACTCACACCGCGGGCAACGCAGTATCTTAGCCCCTAAGACGGGCGGCGGCCACAATGCAGCGGCGACGGCGTGAAGAGGCCCGAGCAACACCGCGGGGGCTGCTGGGTAACACACCCCGCCCACTCCTCTGCAGCCGAGAGCCAGCCGCGAGGCACGGCGGGAAATGATGGAGGAGCGGAAGAGACGCACGAACTTGCCGGAAGTGAGGCATCAGAAGTGGGTGGACTCAAGTGTTTTTGTCAAATTAGTGACCTGGTGAGAAACGCGCGAAAGTAGAGGACGGAAGTCAGTATCTTGGAGAACTCGCTCCAGGAAAGGATGCGCATGCGCGTTTGGACATTCTAGTGCCTTCTAGAAAAGGTGGTCGCTAGGGCAGAGTTGGAAGTTACAGTGTGATGGGCTTCCGGGGGGTGGGCTCTTCTCCAAGGTGGGGGTCGGATTGTGAGCGAGTCTTTTGTCCTTATATTCTTGTCTTCCTTAAATGCTTGCTCAGGGAGCATCAGGCAAATTGGCCGGAATATGTGGCAGGACTCAACGAGTATAAGCTTGGGGTTCTGCACCCAGGTGGGATGGGGCAAGCTTTTCCCTGTAAGGCACTTTGAGAAAACTGCACATGCTGTGCCCCTACTTCCTCCCAATGGCCATTTACCAATTATCTGCGCGTACCCAGCAGTGATCAGCTAAGCTTTGTGGGTGGCCTTGGGCGAAGCCCGCCCCCTCTGGCGGGAGTTGCTACGAGGTGGTTGGTGGGCTCCGCGCCGGCGTGCGCCTCGACGTAAGCGGCGATTGGCGGAGCCGAGGTAACAGATTGTGCTCTCGGCCACTCGGCGGTAGCGGCCTCGTTAGTTCCGGGTCGTGGAGGTTCCGTGGCCTCCGGTATCCTATAGCTTGGTTTCTGAGCTCGTTTGGCCGGGGACAGTTAGCCGCCCAGACGACCGTGAGGAAAGGAGGCAAGGCTCTCCGAGGCTCTGCCCGAGGTCTCCTTGGCGATGGCGCTTCAACCGCGGTTCTGGAAGTTGCGGTCGATTTGCAGGAGCCTGGGTAATTCATCTCGCCCCCCTTGCAGCCTGCTCCCCGGGGCTTGCACAGAGCGTGTCCGTTTGCAAGTCCATTTCGTACTCGACCTAGCCCTTGAAAAAGCAAACGCGCTACCGGCACTGGGATGGCAGTAGAAAGTGAAGGACCGGGGACTGTGGTGACCGGAGCCTGCGGTCAGGCGGACGTTTCGCCCTTGGTCCAGAGCCCGCAGTCGGGGTGGGCTGGGGACGGAGTTGTGACCGCAGTAGCGGCTCTTTGAGGTCCGTGTGCTCGTTTCCACTTCCTAGAGTGTGGGTTCGCGGCCCTGTCTACCAGTTCCACGCCGGCAGTGGAGCCTTTGGAAAATGAAGCTGTTGCCCCCGAGTTCACCAACCGGAACCCCCGGAATCTGGAGCTTTTAGGTGTAGCCCGGAAGGAACGGGGCTGGGGGACCGTGTGGCCCTCGCGTGAGTTCTGGCACAGGTAATTAAGTCAGTGCGTGGTGCCGCGCGAACCTTCTTCATCGGTGCGTTCACTGACCGCGCACGCCGGTCCTCTCGGGACGCCAGGGCGGGAGTGGAACGGACAGCCTGCTGACAGGTGTCTGGAGAAGACGTCAGAGTGGGGGACCGGGTGCCTACCCAGGCCTCTCCGTGGAGGTGACACTTAAATCCCTGAGACCTGAGAGGTAGGAGGAAGCCAAGGCATCTGCTAGAAAGAGCATTCCTGCAGACGAAGCTGCTCGGATGGCAGTGAGCTTGGTGTGCTTGAGGAGCCGAGTTCAACGGGCACAGGGGTGAATGAAGTAAGATGAAAATGGAGAGAGAGGTGGGAGATAGGTCCTGAGCTTTGCAGGTTAAGGTACACAGTTAAGAGCATTTTCAGTGCCACGGGAAATCTATGAGATGATTTAAAGTTTAAGCCTGAATGAGCTGGTTCCTAATGATCATTGTATCTGCTTCAGGAAGAATAAATGTTTAAGGTAGGGGGTTAAAAGAGTATTGTTACAGACACGAGATACTTTGTTATAAAGATGGTCTTCTATTTTATTTTGAGGGATTAAGCCCAGGTCTGGAGCACAGTAGGCCAGGGCTCTACCACTAAACTACATCCACAGCCCCAAAAGCTTTCCATTTACCAGAAACTGTGCTGGTTATTTTAAATATATATTCTCATTTAATTCTTAAAACTATGTTATGGACCAGGAACAGTAATTTTCTCCGTTTTACAGGAGCAGGGAAATTCAAACTGAGGGAGACAAGATTACTGAATGCCAGAACAAAGATTGAAACATGATTTATATGACCTTAGAGCCAGGACTTGAAATTATTACCACCATGCTGCAGCATGTAGGTATTTATCTGCTGCTTGTTTCCTTGGTGCAGATTTGTCAAAGTGGAATTTTTTTGTGTGTGACAGTACTGCAGTTTGAACCCAGTGCTTTGGGCTTGCTAGGCAGGTGCTCTTATCACTTGAGTCATGCCCCTCTCCCAGCCCTTTTTTCCTTTAATTTATTTTGGATAGGGTCTTTGCCCGAGCCTTAGACTTCTTTTCTCCTTATCTGTGCTTCCTGCACCAATGGGATTACAGGTGTGCACTACCACACCTATTTGTTTAGATGGAGTCTTGCTAACTTTTTGTCTGGGCCTGCCTGGAACCATGGTCCTCCTGATCTTCACTTCCCAAGTAGCTGGGATTACAGAGGTGAAACACCATGCTTGGCCAAAAGTAGAATACTTCTTAAGGACTTTATAAAGTTGTAAGAGCAGATTAGAAGTCAAAGGTAATATATTTATTCAGTAAACATTGGGTCTATACACTTTCTAGGGATTGTGCCAGATATAGGAAATACAAAGATACAATGGATGTCATCCCTGCCACCAAAAGTCTTTGACAGTTTCATGGTAGAAGGTGGAATAGGGATGATAATGTGTTACAGTTGCTATGACATATTGATATATTTTTACCTAGTGTATAGGAAGAAGTTAAAGGGAGTAGTCAGTTCACTTTGAATGTATCTGGATCTTGGCTGACAGAGCGGCTCATGTGTTAGAGTGCCTTCATAGCAAGTGTGAGACCCTAAGCCAAACCCCAGTACCACCAAAAAAAAAAAAAAAAAAATCTGGATCTCAGTATTTGGATCATTTAAATAACCATAGACCTATCCTACCCAACCCTCTGTTTGCCATATTTATCGTACTATCGGTAGAGAATTTTGGAATATTCCAGTAGTAAGTAACCTTCGGCACTGAGCTCTAATCCTTAAACACATAGTTTAAGACAAAATCCATTCAAATCTTTTGCCTGTTACTATTAAGTTATTGATCATTTTTTCATTGATAATAGGAGGTTTTTTTTTTTTTTTTAACTTATGGACATTAGCCCTTTGAAAACATGTTTAAATTTTTTTTTTCTTTTTCATTGCTTATCTTTTGATTTCAATTTACTGTTTGTTGTTTGCCTGTTTTTTGAGGTGGGGCTCCCTGTGTAGCCCAGACTACCCTTGTAGTGCAGTGATCTTCTAGCCTCAGCATATAGTAAATATGTCCTATCCAGTGTACATTGTACTTCAGCTCTGCCTCTTGAAGTCCTTCTATGAGGCATCTATGTAAATAAAACTCAGCTCTTCAGAAGTATCAAGTTTCTCTTTTGATACTTGAAGTTAAGTGGAAATATTTGGTTTATTATTATCGGGTATAGTTGCACAAAGGCAGAAGGATGCTTACTTTTCCCAAGAAAATCTAGATTACGTATGTTGAAGTAAATCCACCAAACATTAAATTGAGAAATATTTAGGTAGACATTTGGCTGGATATATTGTTTTATGACTTAATTCTCCTATTGCCTCATTTAGGTTGCGAGTTATAAGGACTCAGCATCATATAGAAGCACTTGTGGAGCATCAGAATGGCCAGGTTGTGGTTTCTGCGTCTACTCGTGAATGGGCTATTAAAAAGCACCTGTACAGTACCAGGAACGTGGTGGCTTGTGAGAGTGTAGGACGAGCATTGGCACAGCGCTGCTTAGAGGCAGGCATCAACTTCATGGTCTACCAACCAACCCCTTGGGAGGCAGCCTCAGATTCGGTATTTCTGTTTTTGTGTACTTACTTAGAAGATACTGTAGGGCTGGGGTGTAGCCCAGTGGTAGAGTACTCACCTACCAGCTACAAGACCCTGGGTTCAATCCCCAGCGACATGCAAAAAATGATAAAAAGTGTTGTGTTAATTCTTGAGGAAACCAGTTTCTGTGTACTTTGCATGTGTTCGACCCTGTGGTAAGTAATCTGACAGCATCACCTCATTTAATCCTCATAGTAATCGACAGGGTACTGACTAGTGCTCCTGCTCTGTACACAAAACAAAGTCAAGAGTTGGTGTGTGGTGGATTTCAAATTCAGGGTCACTGGTTCTATAGTACCACAACGTCAGTATTGTACTTTCTGTTCGTATATTGGACATGCATCTGATTGCTGTCACCTCTATTTCCTTTTTCTCATGCCATTAAGACAACTCAGGAAAACCAGCAGACAACTCAGGAAAACCAGCATTGGCTGGGAGGTCAGCAACAGCAAATCAGTTGTTTATTTTTTTTTTGGAAAGCAAAATATTTTTGACTTTCTTGAGGGCTGACTTAATCTTTTCCTTTTTTTCTTATCCTCAAAATTAGATAAAACGCCTCCAAAGTGCTATGACAAAAGGTGGTGTGGTGCTGCGGGAGCCTCGGAGGATCTATGAGTGATAGAGTGGAGGTGTTGAAAATTCTCAGCCACTACAGCCATCACAAGAGCATCTGGAAGAACCAGCGTGGACGTTTTATAACAATAATGTAACAGTGCAGGATACTTGTAGTTTTCGCATCCTTTTCCCCCTTATGTGTGTGTATGTGGCTTTGTTTTCTTTGTTTTAATCAAAAAATAAATTCTTTCACTTTCTTGGACACAAGCAAAGTACTAAGGAAAGCAGTCACAAACTACAATTTAACTTTTAACGTGTTTGTAAGTTATATAATAAAGGCATATTCTAAACACTTAGCTTTTGGTTATATGAACTCTCCAGCCTATGAGCTCCTTGTGGCACAAGTGCACATGTGAGGTTTGTGTAAAGCCCTGATTCCCATGGGTGGCTCGTGGCTCATCATTTCAATGAGGTTGTTGAAATTGTGAGTGACTGTTTTTGATTATTTTGACTCTTAATAGATGTCAGTGTAAACTTAGAACCAATCACAGTAGTGAAGATAGAATCGAATGCTCAGCTCCCTTGGGCTCTTAGTTCCTAGTGGGCAGAGAGCCAGATCTGAAAGAGGAGTACAGTGAGGAACTGTAAGTGGAGATGGAAACTGAGGGACACCGTGTGCTCAGTTTGCCAAGAAGTGAGAATTCTAATTGGTTAGGAGATGAAGCTTGAAAGACAAACAAGTTGATCTAGGTTCTCTCTTTTTTTTTTTTTTAAGCATTGGTTTGAACTCAGAGCTTCGCACTTGCAAGGCAGGCACTCTTATCGCTTGAACCAACCACCAGTCCCGAAGTTTATCTAAATTTGTGCTTGGGAATGGATCATGACCATCTAGGTGATTAAATTTTGCCAAGAATGAGAATTCTAATTGGTTAGGAGATGAAGCTTGAAAGACAAACAAGTTGATCTAGGTTCTCTCTTTTTTTTTTTTTTAAGCATTGGGTTTGAACTCAGAGCTTCGCACTTGCAAGGCAGGCACTCTTATCGCTTGAACCAAGCCACCAGTCCGCAAGTTTATCTAAATTGGTGCTTGGGGAGATGGGAATCATGACCCATCTAGGTGATTAAATCAAACTAAGGCATCATCTACATTTGGCTACCTGATAAACGTGAGGAAGAAGAACCTGTAAGCACTTAAGGTGGCCTTCAGAACAGTTTTCCAATTTTTTGGGGGGTGGGGGGGTGGCGTAGGCACTGCAGTTTGAACTCAGGGCTTCATGGTGCTCTTACCACTTGTGCCACTACACCAGCTCATTTTTGTGTGATGGGTTTTTTTCCAGATAGGGTCTCAAGAACTATTTGCCCAGAGCTGGCTTCAAATGCAATCCTCCTGATCGCTGCTTCTTGAGTAGCTTGGAATAAGGTGTGAGCCACCAGCGCCCACCTAAACTATACATTATTTAGGAATGTGATAATTATTATTGACAATGTTAGTATTCAGTCATTCAAGAAAGATGACACCAGTCTGTAGCACCAGCATTTTAAAGACCATTGAGGATGGTGTGTGGTCAAGTGGTAGACCACCTGCCTAGTATGTAGGAGGACTAGGTTCATTCCTCAGTATCACAAAAATAGAAAAAAAATTTAATTAAAACTAATTCTGAGGCCTTTGACATCCAGTGTTTTGTTTTTAAATAGTGCAGACAGTTAATGTACATAGTTCCAATTGTTAATTCCCTCACCTTAAATACTGATTGGAACACCTCCCTTGAAGACCAGGATTCTAGAAAACTTCACGTAGAAGCCTAGAATTCAGCGGGTGGTGTAGATGGAAGATCCTGGACTAGTGACTTTGGAAAACTGACAGTTACAAAAATCGGGTCACTGATTAGTGGTGTGGTAGGTGGGAATTTCTGCCTGGGGTAGGAAGGCGTGCACCAGATAAGCAAGGACGGCTTCAATCGTACGGAGCAGGTCTTGATTGCAAACAGCCTTCACCTCGTTAAGATCAAGGCTGTGGGCAGGTGTGGGCGCCACCGGGCGCCCCACACCTAAGGGTCAGCGCGTGGGGCGGGTGGGGTTGCTTTAAGGCCCAGCGCTGCGGAAGCGCGTGGGCAGCACGTGGCCACACCAGCGCGTAGGCGTAGGCCGGCGGCCATGGACGTCGGTGCGGACGAGTTTGAGCAGACCCTCCCCCTGCTGCAGGAGCTCGTCCTGGACGCGGACTTCGTGGGTAAGGCGCCGGGAGTGTAGGCCTGGTCGCTAGAGACGGCTCCCCAGGGGGGCCTGGGACGGGCAGTGCCAGCTGGTCAGGGAAAGATGTGTCCCCAGGCCGCAGCAGCTCAGAAGGACAGGGGGCTCCCTGCTCCAGCCCCAAGCGGGGGGGCGTTAAGCAGCAAACACCCCGCGAGCCCTCACGCCCTCGTTGGCCTGAACCCCTGCCTGTGGGTACCAGGCCCAGGTACAATCTGGGCGGCCTGACTGGGCCCTACTGTGGCTCTCTTCCCTTCTTGACGTCATCTGGCTTCCTGAGCGCAAAGGTGAGTCCGTGTGTTGTCCACCACCGGTGGCATTGCAGTGTCAAGAGGCTGGCACCCTCCGCGCCCAGGGACCCTTGTCTTTTGCTCTCCCGCAGGTCTGGACATAGAGTTCACTGGCCTGCGTTCAGACTTGTCGGGGCCTCAGCAGATCAGGTAATGATAAAGCCATCTTGGAGCCCAGGGAGAGAGGCCACTCATGAGAGTCCTCAGGATGAGGACCTGGCCAGACCAGTGTGGTTTCTCAGCAGCACTCGCTGGCTTTTTCTGGGGGGAGGACATTTCGTGGGGGTTGCTCCTATTTGTTGAGGGACCTGGCTGTGGTCCACTTAATGCTGTAGTGTTCTCTAGTTGTAACAAGAAAAAAAAAAAAATAGGTGGCCCTGATTGAGAGTGGCTGAGCCAGCCCTGGAGGCCAGGTGTCTCGATCCCATGGAATTGCCTGTAGAATGAGATGTCTGTTTTCTCACAGTCTTTTTGATTTGCCATCGGAGTGGTATCTAAAGACCCGCCGGAGTGTTCAGCAATTTACGATCTGTCAGATTGGTGAGTGCGATGGTTCACCTGTCCTGTTATGAATCATTCAGGAAGGTATTTTGTTTGTGTTTCCTGTTAAAAAAGAAGGAAAAGCTTCGGCCTTTTTCAAAGACACTGGGTATCATTTTTGATATCCACTGTTCTGTTTGGGGCATTATTCTTATGGGACCAACACTGTGGAGGACGCAGAAATCTTAGCCTTTCTATGCTTCAATAAACCAATCTTAAGAATAATCACTGTCACCTGTTTAATCTTTCAAGTAAAAATGTGTGAGATTTTTTTTTTAAAGAAAATTTACACAAACAAGATACTACAAACGTTTTGTACCTTGGGATTTTGTTTTCCACATGCCAGGGTTTGATGGAGTTTGGAGATCTTTCTGTATCAACACACACAGACCAGTTCATTTTAACTGCTGCATGTTAGTATTACCGGTCACAAATGTAGCAACTACCTCCTTAATGCATGCTTTGGTGACCCTTTGTGTACAGTTGAGCAAGTTTGCATTGACTGCCTTGGTATTTATATTACTGTACTTGAGTGCATGTATGCATCTGGATTACTTCTCATAGTAGCATTGCAGAGTGAGGGTGTGTGCAATGCAGAATTGTTGTATGTAGCCAAACTATTCCTCTTCCTAACAGTCGTTCAGAGTTTTCAGTGATTTACACTGTGATCGTGCCTGTTTCCCTCAGTCCGAAAAATTTTGCCCACCTGGTAGAAGAAAAAATGATCCACGGCTGGGGATGTAGCTCGGTGATGTAGGGTTTGCCTAGCTGCAGGAGGACCAGGATTTGATTAGTAGTACCACCAAAAGAAAAAAAAAATCTTAATTGCTAATTGTTTAGTTCCGAGTTCCATTTTTTACTGTAGGGGTCAACAACTTTTCTGTAGAGTACTAGAAAGTAACTATTTTAGGTTTTGCCAGCAATGTGATTTCTGTTATAGCTACCAATCCTGCCTTTGATCATGATGTGATTGTGATAAAATGTTATTTACAAAAACAGGCCAAATACACGTGTGTGCCTGCACGAACACGTGTGCTTCTCTCTACCCTTGCTATTTGCGGTGTTAGTTGTTTTCTTCTCCCCATACCCCCCTTTTTAATTTTTTTTGCTGCATTAGGGATTGAACCCAGGGCCTCATGCTTGCTAGGCAAGCGCTCTACCCCTTGAGCTATGCCCCCAGCCCATGGAAGTTTTTCTTAATTATTTTTTTTCCAGTACTCATAAATGAACTTTATTTATTGCTTAAAGAGAAGATATTTTTGATGGTGCTTTTATACATTTTAATAGGCCTTTTTTTTTCATTCCAAAACTTTTTCTTTTCTACTTTTTATCATTTTTACATTTATTTACATGTGTATACATTGTTTGTGCCACCTCCCCCACCTCACCCCCAGTTTTTCTTAATTATAAGACCTCTTTGGGAAGTATAGGAAATGGCTCTCTGTTGTGCTTCTATTGTTCTCCTCCCATTTCAAAATCTTTCATTTTGAATATAGTCTTTTTTGGTAACAGACTTTTATTTATTTTTGTGGTACTGGGGTTTGAACTTGGGGCCTACAACTTGAGCTACTCCACCAGCCCTTTTTTTGTGAAGGATTTTTTCCAGATAGGTTCTCTTGAACTGTTTGCCTGGGTTGGCCTCGAACCTCGATCCTCCTTATGTCTGGCACCTGTCTAGACATTTTCATCTTTTGAGAGGGGTCTCATGGTGTAGCCCATATTGGCCTGGAACTCAAGATCTTCCTGCCTCAGCCTCCCAAGTGCTAAGACTACACTCATGCACCACCGTGCCCAGCAGATACTGTAAAGCAGTTAAATTTAAGCCTTTTATGGTTTTTGGTGTTTCTTTTTTAAAAAACTATGAAAATGTCAATATTTCTGTGTTTGAAGAACCAACACAACTATATTTTATTAGTTTCAATGCAAATTACGATTTGACAGTTTTCGTGCTTGAAGTCTGTTTTTTCAGTAAGGATATTATCCTGTTCTACAGCCCACACAGTTATCTGTGAATGCAAAGCACTGTTGGAAATGTTTTGTCTTTACAGTTAACTTTAGGTAGTTTTTCTTCAGTATTTATTACTTCTGCTGTCATTCTTCTAGGATTGTCTGTGTTTTCCAGTATTGAAGGAGAGTCAAACAAGTATGTATAAAGAAATTTTGCAAAACATGTGACTCTTGCCTGTGTTCTACAAATTTTCCCCCTTCAAATTCTGCCTCAGGTGCCTGGGTCACTTTTGTCCTGGATGCTCGAGTTTTTCCTACTTCTGGGCTCTCCTACTCACTCTGTCCTCTCCTTGAAGTCTCTCTCAAAGCAGTAACTTTTCTGTGGGCCTTTCCTGCCACCCCTGTACCTCAAGCACTCATGCCCTCGTTTCTGTTGTACTTTGTGCACCTTCATGAGAGCAAGGAATGCAGTGTGTTGTAATGAGAGTAAAGTTGAAGCTACTTGGTAGCTTACAGGTACCAGCAGTTAGAAAGAATCCTCCATCTATGGAGACAGCCCCACCTGGAAGCGGATGAGGGGCTGAGCTGCTGTTCTGGTACCAGCCTTGATGGGCTTGTCCAAACCATTCCTTTATTTATTTTTTACCTGAAACACACTGTAGACATTCAAGTACTTCTTAAATGAGAGGAGTCCACTTTGAAGCCTGCTTTTTATGAGCCACAGTGGTTTTGTTTGTTTTTTAATGGTTTTGAGTTTTTATCCTTATGTTTTAATCTTTTTTTTATAGGTATGTAGCTCATTCGTGTAACTTCTTTCTCTTCCCTACAACATTTGGGATTTTGGACTCAGAATTCTCTTTCCAAGCTTCTAGTGTTCAGTTTTTGAATCAGTATGGCTTCAACTATAACAAGGTATGGTACTGGAGTAGGGATGGGAATGAGTTAAAGTCTAACTGGGCTATAATACCGTCTTCTCCCCTCACCACTGTTGTTTCCTTTCTTCCCTTTTTTTTTGGTTTGGTAATCCTGGGAGTTACACTTAGAACTTTGTGCTCGTTAGACAGGCACTCGCCACCTGAGCCATATTCCTCAGCCTTTCTTGTCCCCTTTCTTACTTGTCCATGTGAGACCAGAAGGATTCCCTTCATTCTGCTGCCTGGCTCGCAGGATACCTCTGGCTTGTCTTCTTGTTCTGCTCCTCTCTTTAGTTTCTCAAAAACGGAATCCCATATATGAATGAAGAGCAGGAGAAGAAAATAAAGCACAATATCCTGACGGGGAACTGGAGAGTTCGCAGGTAGGGTCTGTTTCTCCAGCTGCCTTTCTGTTTTCTTTGTTTTTTTCTGTATTTCCTGTGGTGGATGTGCTGGTTCCAGGAGTATGGTGACATTCATACCATTGGGTTGGCTTCTGCTGCCTGTGTTCAGCCACACGGGGCAGCCCGTCACACTAGGGTTCTCTCCCACCCGCAGATGAGAAACTAGCCTTTCAGCTCCATGTGAACCTATAACTGCTTTGAGTGTGACTTTAGTGTTTAAAAAAAAAAAAAAAGGCAGAGTACCTCAAGTTGTAGAGTGCTTGCTTAGCAAGCGTGAGATCCCAAGTTCAAACCCCATACCACCAAAAACAAAAGTGCCTCTTAATTTGTAACTCAAAGAAGAGGAATTCCATTCTAGTCTTAGACTTGTTGAGGTGTTCTGTTGGTCTCAGTGCCACTTTCTGAGGATTTTCTGGGGATTTTCAGGGGTCACTCACAGGCTACACTGACTGTGCCAGACATGTGGCATACTGTGTGGGTGCTGGCTTGCCTGACCTGTTATGCCTAGGACTTGCCTGTATCCCCAAGGGGTTGTTGCATTTTTCTCCCCCCTCTGGTACTTTATGTTATTCTTAGGCTTTGCATACTCCTAGGAGTGACCAAAGTGAGGCAGCAGCCCAGGTCTCAGTCAGCCAGTGCTACCAACTAGTTGTTAGTTTTGAACAAGTCATTGACGCTCTTTGGGCTCTAGATTTTTTCTGTTTTCACCAGAAAGGGGAATAAATCAGATAGCTTTCAACTCCAAAATGTGCTGACTGATTATCTGGCCCAGGTAATGAGCTCGTATAATGTTTAGAGAATTGTTTTGTTTTGGATTATATTCTCAGTGCTGATTTTCATATAAAAATGTAGCTTTTTGTGAAGGAAAAACAATTTGAATTTTTAGCCTTCTGTTTTCAAAAATCAGAGAACGATCTTTTATTTCAATACAATATTATATTTCTGACACAGAAGCAGAGGGTTCACCAAAGTCCTTATCTTTTTCCTTATGTTCCCAGTGACACTTTACCTCTTGGAAGCCACATAAAGACAGTCCTGGCAATAGTGTTTAGCATTGGCTAGAGCATTTTCCTTTTATTCCACCTATCTCGGCGAAGCAGACAGGGATTAAATGGATTCCTATAAACCTGCAAAGAATACTGGCCAAAGGTTTGCCTTCCTATTGTGTAAAAAGGACAAATGACTTTTTTTGGTTCATTTTTCTCATGAAATCACAATACTAAAACCGGCATCTTGGTCCAGGCACAGTGGCTCATGTCTATAATTTCAGCTATGCAGAGGCAGAAATCAGGAGGATTCTGGCTCCAGGCCAGCCCTGGCAAAAAGTAAGACCTCCCCATCTCAATCAATAAGCTGGGCACGGTAACCTGCACCTATGATCCCAGCTACACAGGAGGCTGTAGATAGAAGGGTGAGGGTCTGAGACCAACACTGGGCAAAAACATAAGACACTACCTGAAAAATAATGCAAAAAAGCCCTAGGGGTATGGCTCTCGAGGCCTGAGTTCAATCTCTAATACTGCCAAAACCAAACAGAAGACAAAGCAACAAAACAACGGCTCTTGAAACCTCTCTCTTAAGACTGTCTTAGGATTCTGGTATGGTTTTCTCCAACATTTTTTGTGCCCGTTTTCAGCTCTCTGGATAAAGACCAAATCAAGGTTGTGATTGATGAGGTGACACGATGGCTTGACCTGGCGGAGGAAGGTGACCGGATGACTCTGCCTGGTATTGCTGGTAGGCAGGAGGCCACTCCTCCCAGCTTGGAAGCATGGGGCCAGGTCGTGGCCGTGCGCCAGGAGTTGGGGGGCGCACATTCTCTTTCCCATAGATCCTGGTGCCAAATACCTCACAACTAAATCTGATGCTAGCATTTTCCTTCAGTGCTTAGTTCTTGGGGTTAGAGCGAGCCCTGACCTGAACGCAGTAGTCAAAGGCTTTTCAACCTACTTTGAATTCAAGACTGAGGTAGTCAACTTCCATCCATGAGCCACCTTTGACCTTACCTGTGTGCCTGGTATGCGTGTGTTTTTGGGGTTTGAAGTTGGGGCCTCATGTTTGCTAGGCAGGTACTCTTACTTTGTGAACCACTCCTCCAGCTCTTGTGTGCCCAGTTTGAATTTTTCCCCACAGTGCAGTGTGGAACCAGTGCAGTTCTTAGAGCCTGGTCTGTGGACCCAGGAGGGGGAGGGCTCTCTAAAACCCTTGGTCTGGTTAGTAAAGTCAAAGCTTCACTCAGCTGTGACTTGGCTGTTGCTGTTGCACCATTTGCCCTGGTGCAGTAGCAATAGGGGTTAAACCTGCTGGTAGTCACTGTGGTCTTCTGGTAAAGAAGTAATCTTAGTCCTTTTCTGTCACAACCTTTTGATCATCTTGTATTTAAATTCTATGCATCAATGTAAGTGTTTGAAAAGTAATTATGCTGACAGCATTGCTATATTGAGGAAGAGCTGTATAGGCTTTTGAGCTGAGAGCTGGATTAGCATTTTTTTTTTTCCAATACTGCGGTTTGGACTCGGTGTTCTACCACTTGAGCCACACCACCAACTAAAGCACTCTTTGCTTTAGTTATTTTATTTTATTTTTGCGGTATTGGGGCTTGAATGCAGGGTCTTCACCTTGAGCCACTCCAGCAGCCCTATTTTTGTGAAGGATTTTTTCCATATAGAGGCTTTCGAACTATTTGCCTGGGCTGGCTTCCAACCATGATACTCCTGATCTCTGCCTCCTGAATAGCTAGGTGTGAGTGGCACCCAGTGCTTTAGGTATTTTTTGAGTACAGTTTTGTTTCATGCCCAGGCCAGTCTTGACTGTGATCCTTCTGTTTATGCATCTGCATATGTATGTCATCCCAGCTATGTGGGATGACCAGTTTGAGCCACCACTCAGCTTCTTACTGGTCAAAGTGGGGTCTTGAGAACTGTTTGCTTGAACTGGCTAGTAACCTCAGTCCTGCCAATCTCTGCCTCCCTTGTAGCTATCATAAGAGTGAGTGAGCCATCATGTCCAGCAGACTAGTTGATTCTGATGTAACAGTGCTAGAAAGTTTATTAATTATGACTTCAGATTCTGCATAACAACCAGTCTTTAAGAAACTACCGTGCCAGGTACCAGCGACTCACACCTGTAATCCCAGCTACTCAGGAGGCAGAGATCAGGAGGATTTGTGGTTCGAAGCCAGCCTGGGCAAATAGTTGAAAAAACCTATCACAAAAAAAGGGCTGGTAAAGTGGCTCATGCTGTAGGTCCTGAGTTCAAGCCCCAGCACTGGAAAAAAAAATTACTATTTGTTGAATGTTACACATATTAAAAAAAGAAAATCCAAAGTCAGTCATTTGATAATACTGGTAACTCTTTTCCCTTTTCCATCTATGTATCGATGGGGGTTTTATTCTTTTGCTTAGTGTCCACAATGTATCACAGCAGTTTGAAAGTAGAAGTAGATGTAATTTCAACCAGATGTTACAGAGATTGATGGAAAATGTAAAAACAATGTCACTCTCCTCACTTACATCTTTTTGTTTTGGAGAACAGTTATTTTTCATAAATGTTTTTAACATTTATTTTAAAAGAAAACTTGTAGGTTTTCTAAACTTGGCATTTTAGTTTCTAACATGGTTAATATCAATAGCTGTAGCCCACAGAAACAAAATTACTTTGGTATCCCTGAGTTCAACAACCTTAAGGATGCTATCCTAGAATGTCACAGTGCAACCCGTGCCCTGACACAAGACTCGCTGTTGGGCACCCCTAGCACAGCCTTTCCATGTGATCCACCAGTCCCTTGTGTTTCTCATTTTCTCTTCCTCTTGCCGGGAAAGTCCAATGCTTTTCCAGGTTCTGTGTGTGCCTTGTGATTCCTGCTGCAGGGTTCCAGGCCTTTGAGGTCCAATTGGTGCTGAGGCAGGCCCTCCCCAACATCTGGACAGTGCTGAAAAATGAGGGGGTGAGTTCCCATGTAGGAATGGGCGTCCTCACCAGTTCTGTCACTCATTCAGCCAAATCTGCCCTCTGAAGGGTTTTCTCATGTGCTGCTGCTTTTTTTTTGTCTTCCTTACATTTTGAGATGAGCCACTATTTTAGGCTTCATTCCCAGCAACCCAGGATCTAGGGAGCTTGTCTGTGCTTTCCTTTCAGGTGGTGGTAAAGAAGGTGAGTCGGCAGCACCGCTGGTACCTTGAACATGCCTCTTGTGACAGGGCCAGCTGTTGGAAAGAGCAGATTCTTCTCTCTGCCAGGGGCTTTTCTGTCTTTTTCCAGATGTTGGTGAAAGCCCAGAAGGTAGGAAGATATCTTTTCTGGGCCTTTCTAGTCTTTTGTATCTTGGATGTAGATATCGAAGGATCCTCTGTCAGTAAAATGAGATTTCTTAAGACAAGTGATGCCTTCTCATTGGTAACTGGCCTCTCAACTTCAAACTTTTTCCAAGTCATGCTGGGGTCATTTGGGGAAAGACTGCATGTGAGATACTATATGTCTTTGCCCTTTTTGGTAACACAGGAACTCCACATTTATTACCTAAAATTGCTTAGCGGTGCTATGTGTACCTACTTCACAGTCGAGATCCCCGAAGTCTACCTTTCACTCATTCTCTCCCTCCCCCTCCTCTCCCTCTTTCCATCTCTTCCTCCTCACCTCGTCCTTAAGACAGTCCCACTATTTATATGAGAGCAGAATGGGTAAGGATGGGATATTGGGTGGCCAGACTTGCAGTGGGTCCTAATCTAAATTGTTGGTAAGAAACTGTTAGTCTCTGTGTCTGCCCTTACTAATTTTTAAATTCCGTTTCTCTCACCTGTGGGTTCACTCCAAGTAGCCCTTGGTAGGGCATAACATGATGATGGACCTGCTGCATCTCCATGAGAAGTTCTTCAGACCTCTCCCAGGTAGGGACAAACCTGCCATCCTCCCTTTTATCATAGTCTATAGTCAGGCCTGTTTATTCCCAAAGGGCTATACAGGTTGGTCAGAGTCGTGTCCTCTGGTCCGTGTGTGTACCGTCTTTCAGGGGGAGACCAGGAGACTTCCTCAAGGGAGAAAAACCCTAAATTTAAGTTTTTTCCCTTCCCTCCATTACTGAAGTTGCTCAGGCTCATTGTGTCAAATCGCAAAATCAGAAATATGTGAAGGAAGCCAGGCATGGTGGTGCTCACTTATAATCACAGCGTGTGGGTGGCTGAGTTAAGAAAATCAAGAGTCTGAGGCCAGCCTGAGCTACATAGTAAGACTGTCTCAAACAACAAAATCTGTAAACTTGCTAGAATCCTAATGACTTTGCTTTTATCCTGTTGTGAGTTTTTATATATTATATATTTGATTCTATGAGGTTTTTTTCCTCTTAGGTTTTTAATAACATAAAGATATGCTTTGGCTGACAAAAGCTTGCGGAGTGGCTCAAGTGATAGAGCCCCATTACTGCCTGCCCCCCTGAAAAAGCTCATTTTAGCCTGGCACTGGTGACTCATACCTATAATCCTAGCTACCCTGGAGGCAGAGATCAGGAGGATTGCAGTTCAAAGCCAGCCTCAGGCAAACATTTCAAGAAGATCCTATCTTGAAAATACCCAACACAAAAACAGGGCTGGCAGAGTGGCTCAAATAGTAGAGCTCCTGACTAGCAAGCATGAGTCCCTGAGAACTGCCAAATCCCAATACTGCCCCCCCAAAAAAACCCTAACAAATGCCAAGTGTGATGGTGCACACATGTAATCTCAGTACTTGGGAGTCTGATGTAGGATGATTGCAAGTTCAGGTACAGTCTCAGCTACACATGAGGCCAGCCTAGGCTGCATAGGCAGTCCCTGTCTCAAAAACCAAAAAGCACAAACAAAACTTTTCCACATTTGATTTCTGTTGTTTGATATAAAGTGTGCACTGTTGTGGGTAAAAGCCAAGGCTCCAGAGCTGTGAGGGAAGTCCTCCTCCGCCTCTCATTACCTGGGTGACCTCCAGCAAGTTCCTTTACTTTCCCTGGTTACCTATGGACAGTGGCAGCCTCAGTGTGCCCGTAGCATTAAGTGAATTCGTAAATGTACAGTTAGTACTAGATAAAAGGGGTGAGGAAGCTCTAAGAGATTCCCTGAGATTTCTGTGAGACGGGAATTGATAAAACACCTGTGTTTGAGCATAGCGAGTGAATAGGAGGATAATTAGCAGAATTAACAACATGCACTCAACAAAGAACTGAGCAAACAGCAGAACAAAATGTTCACTAGAACAAAGGAAAAGGGATGCAATAAATGCAATTCTTGTAGCTGCTGCAGGGCCCTTCACAGATTTGTGCTGTGGTAGTTTTGAGAGGCTGCTACCCTGGGGTGAGGGTGAGGTGAGAAATGTGTGCGATGGGGTCGGCAGAACCAGAGGCTCCGCCCTGCTCACTGGTGGAAATCAGTGGCCAGGTGCCTAAAGTTGCAGCATAGGCACGTCACTGAGAGCTGTGGGAATAAAGACCCAAGGGGGAGAAACTGAAAGTAACTGCCTTTGGCGGGTAGGAAATGGGAGGGTAGTGGGAAGAGGGTGACAGGACTTTTTGTTTGGGAAGTACGTGTTGGGTGTTTTTCTTTTATTTGCAATAAAATCTCTTCAAACTGTATGCGGGTATGACTTTCAAAAACTCACCAATTAATAGTTGATTTAAATTTTTTTCTTTTGTTGGGTGTTTTATCTCATTAATATTACATTTAGTTGATTTTTCTCTGAACAGTCATTTATAACTGATTTCACATCTGCCTTTCCAAAATACCCTGTTTCTCCCTCTTTCATTCCGTTGGCCAGAGCTTCTCAGACTTCATTAGCTGATGCTGGCAGCAGGAAGCACTTGGAAAACCATGTGGCCTTTCCAATCAAAAGTGATGATGGTGGATTGGTTTGAGATTAATTGGGGTTGTTTTCAGTTCTTGTTTTCTTTTTGCTTTACTAATCAATGTTGGTGGATAGCTAGGGAAGGCAGTAGTTCCTTCTCATTTTTTACCAATCTGCCAGCTCACTTTCCACTGTCTGCATCTTTCTCCTCAGAAAGCTATGATCAGTTTAAGCAGAATGTCCATAGCCTGTTTCCTGTTCTCATTGACACCAAGAATGTGACAAAGGACATCTGGAAGGTAAAGAATGGAATTACTTTGAGTGGGGACTGTGCTGTCCATCCTGGTAACACTTAGCTTTTCTCTCAACTTAAAAAAATTTTTTTTCCTTGAACCCTTATAAAACCAGCACCAGAATCCCTTTGTGTTTGGGCACATATGGGTCATCATATGAGCTTGTATGGGATTAATTTTTTTTCCTTCCCACATTCAAGTTCCAAGGTTTTGACTTATTGGTATATAAATCGTATGCCTTAGATGAGAAAATGGGGCAATTTATTCTGGAGCTTGACCCATATTTTGTAAACTTTCACCTGCTTATAGAGCACCAGGGTACCTCCCCTCTGAAAGCCTTGAGAAAACTTTTTTTTTTTTTTTGGTGGGATGGGGTTTGAACTCAGGGCTTTGTGTTTTTATAGCAGGCTCTTTACCATTTGAGCTACACATTACTCTGGTTATTTTGGAGATGGGGTTCTCGCAAACTTTTTGCCCAGGCTGGCCTCAAACCATGATTCTCCTGATCTCAGGATTACAAGTGTGAGCCACCAGCACCCAGCGAGAATACATCATTTTTGCAAAGCTCTGAAGTCATGGATTCTCATGCTGACAGCAAATTAGAATTATGGAGGAAGGCACAAGCCGACCCTGGCCTCATTGTCCTCCTCTTATGTTGTCTAGAGGGGAGAAGGTGGTGGTTTGAAATGTCCCTAGGTGATTTGTAATCTGGTCATGTGCTACACATGGAGAAGGGTAGGTCTCAGTTGGTTTAAGGGCTTTATAGCACTTAGGAGCAGAGAAAAGGGAATCAGATCTATGTCTGAAAGCCTTGGAGTGTTACAACGAATTATTCAAGAAGCCATAAAAATAGGATTGGGTTCCTTAGTGTGTCTTTGCCCAGAGAGGATCTTATATTTGTGCTTAATGTATTTCTAGTTTTCATGAACTTCTAGGACTTGGTGACCTGGCATTACCCCAAGGTCCTCTCCTCCCTGGAATGTCTGGGTCTCCATCCAGTGCCTCAGAATCCTGTGTTTACAGAATACCTTAACCACACCTGCTAAGGGAGATGATTTCCAGCCTAGGTTATCAGGAGCCCTTCCAGCAAGCCACAGGATCCTGGTCCCCTGACACTGTAATTAAGGACTGGGCAGTTAGGATGTTAGAGGAGGAGGAGGAGGTGCTGTGGGAGTCGGTGTTTTCCAGGTCACTTTAGTGGCTACTTGGTAAGCCGTGAAGCAAATGATATGCACAAGCCCAAATGTCTTGTTCTCCATAACTGCAGGAACTGCATTTCCCACGTGTGTCCAACCTCTCAGAAGTGTACGAAGTGCTGAGCAGGTGAGGAAGGTGTTTGCAGAGCTGCTTCTGGAGTTGGGCCTGTGGCCTCAGCTGCCTGTGTGATGGAGGTCCCTGGGGTGTAAGGGGTGTTCTGCCACTCATGGCTCTACTGCTTGGACTTAAGGCCTCCCCCATCCCCAGTCCAGCTCCTGATACTTCCTGCACTGTCCCTGTCTTGGACAGCCCTCTTGGCGCCCATTGCAAAAAAAAAAAAAGACCAAAGGCAGGAAATATGTCAGCCCCTTGCCTGCCCTCCTGAATGTTTTGCAGTCACTGTCATGTTTCCCACTGGGTTTCTTGTCACCACAAGCACGAGCTCCTTCCCCCACGGGGTTCCATCCCCAACTGCTTGCCTATCTCCCCATCAGCTGCCTCCTCTCAGCAGCCTCGTTCCCTGGGCTCTCAACCTCTCTCATTTCTCTCAGTATCCACACTTAAAGAACAAACAAAATCCCTTTTTTGACTCTCCACTGTGGCTGCCACTGTAACTCCATGGTGCAGGCAGGGGCTTGTGTGTGATGAGCAGGCAGATGGAGAGGGTTAGTGTCACTTGACTAGTGGGAAAGCACCAGTGAGGTGCCTAAAAATTGCTAGCATGTGTTACCCAGAGACAAGGTAGCTGTTCTCTTTATAGCAAGACCCTTTACCAGCTTCCATTTCCCATGTGCCCACTGCCATCAGATTTTCTCCTTACAAATTGCCTACTACAAGGCTGTTCACACACTTATCTGTGGTTGCTTTTGACAGGACATTGCACATAAAACATTTGGAACAGGGCATAGCACATAGACCTGTGTAAAGGTTGCCTTACTGTGGCCTAGGAGACCCTTGGCCTGCCTCCCTCCCTCTCTCTCTCTCTTGCTCTCTTTCTCTTGCGATCTCTCTTTCTCTCTCTGTTGTGTTGCACCCTCTGAATTTCCCTTTTCTCATGGGTTGGAGTGGACGTGTGGATACACGTAATTTTTCACCATTCCTGTGTGTTCCTCTCCTCATCTCTTAAATTCTGCGCTGGCCCTCCTCTTGTCTGTTATCCTGACTGTCTAGACCTCACCCACTCCCTTATTTCAGCTACCATCATCCCTGTGCAGTTGCAGGTCAGATCAGGTGGCTCTGGGAGGCTCTATCTAACAGCTGCCCTCTTGATACTCCTGCCTTGTGGGACCTGCAGTTACTTTGACATTCATCTTTGTTCCTTAGACTCTCTCCAGTGTCTGGAATATTTGCTAAGTCTCTATGATACTTGGTGTGAGACTTGGGGCTGTGTGTTTATGAGGTGGGGGACTAGACACAGGAAGTGTTTGATTTTTATTGTTTTTAAATGCATAAAGTCTAAACTTCCCAGATTTAAGTCCCAGCTTTCCCCTCAGTGGTTTTGTAACCTTGAGCAAATGAATCTCCTTGTGCCTTAGTTTCACCATCTGTGAAATGAGAAAATAACCTTGTGTTGCTGGAGGTTGCCATAATTAGCCGGATGCTGCTAGTTATGCATGGCAGGACTAGAACCGGGCCATGCACCTGGTCCACATCTGTTAAATGTTAGCTGCCCTAACTGCCATTGATCCCTGTAGCCCTCTTAGCTGGCTTGTAGGGTAGTCACAGATGAGAAAATTAGGCTTAGGGAGGCTCAGCACACAGGAGTTTGAAAGCTGCCTGGAAAGCAAATGCGGTGGAGGTTTTCTTATTATTGGATGGTGTCACCATCCCCCACACCCAGAGCCAAGTGGCCTCAGGGCTGAGCTGCCCACACCTATCCAATCAGTCATGTCCAATTGATGTTACTCCATAAGCCTCTTTACATCCTGAGGGTCGCCCCCATCATTCAGGCCTGAGCGTCTCAATTCCAGGCATGGTCGTAGCTCACTGGTAAGCTTGTGTCTGTCCTAATCCATTTCCCATGCTGCCACTTGAGTGATCTTTTCAAAACACTGCCATTATTTTGATGTTTTGGTGCTCCCTGGAGCCCCCACATGTTATAGGAGCTCCTCTCTATCCGTCCTGACCCTTCAGCCACACTTTCCCTGACAAGGACCCGTTCTGCTCCTCACTGTTATTGCTTGCTCTCCCCTCGACCTGAAATGCCTGTCCTCCCTGCATTTCTTCAGCCATGTTCGTTCCTGTGGCTGGGGACTGTCCTTTAGAACACCAGCTTCAGGAAGCCTACGTCTCACAGATAAGGTCATCTCTGTGTTTTATTGCTCAGGCCATTAGATGGCAAGCTTCAGAGGGCAGAGACTTTCTGTGTGTCTCAGTGCCTGGGTTCAGGCTAAGTATCTACTAAATGCCCAAAGTGATCCAGTGGGGGACTCTTGCCTGCTGGTCCTTCCCTACCCCTGTTGCCTCATCACCAAGACCCTATCTGTCCTGTACCTTTTTAAAAAAAAAAAAAAATCTCATGCCATGGACATATCTTTATAACTTAAGGTGCTTAGGGGAGAGCAAGAAGGGATGATTTTTCATGAGTTGTTCTTTATCCTATTTTTCTTCTCTAACAGCAACTTGAATTCTGGACCAGAGATTGTTCATGCAAGGCAGTGTGAAAAATACGGTACGTTCCCATGAGCCCTGGCTCCTGGAGCCCTTGGCAAAGTACTCTCGGGGCAAACTGAGGCTTTTCCTCAACCTGGTCCCCCAGGCAGCAGGCTGTGCAGGTTTGCACAGTGCTTACTCACGGCCTTCCTGGCTGTGTTCCACACATTGCTACCTTCTAGGTACGTAATCCAAGGGCACGTGCGAGGCCAGGCTGCCGTCTGTTTCCTCCTTGATGTGGTCTGTGGTCTGTGGTCTGTGTGGAAGCTCTTGACCTCTCTCTGTGGGGAGGACCAGGGTGAACCGGGCTTATGAGTGAGGAGAGTGGCCATGCAGCAGTTGGTGATCATGCATGCCGCTGAACTAGGGTGGGGAGAGAGACTTCTTTCCCAGGCCCTGTTTCTAATGGCTGCTCGGTGTCTCTCCTACTTACGGAAAACTGCTTCAGCCAAGACAAAGTGCCCTCATGAAGCAGCATATGACGCCTTCCTCTGCGGGTCAGGTAAGAATTGCTGTTCCTTTGGAACGAGACTCTGTCGTCTGCTGTGTTAAGCCCCTGCCATCCCTGGTTCTGATTCATTCCCATTGGGTTGCACTGGAGCCTGAGTTTGCATACTTCCATAAGGCCTTGGGATCTGTTATATCTCTAGCTTTTTTTTCCAGTTCTTTTGAAAGTGGCTCACTTGCTCCTACAGAGGGTACACAGGTGAGTGTCCTTTCTTTCATCCTGTTACACTATGAGTAGGCAGGACCTCCTAGGTCCCAGGGACACCAAAGGGAAAATGTGCAATCTCCAAAGGAAAAATGTGTGTGGATATCTCATTCCTGCCAGGGCAGCAGCCAGCACAGTGCTGCAGACAAGTGGTCTTCCTCCATAGGGACCCTTTCTTACCACCCCCACCTCCTGCCTGGGTGGGTCCTGCATCCCGCTGCTGTCTTGGCAATGGGAGAATGTGAATTTTTTGTCAGGGTCAGGGACTCAAGCGGTACGGACGGTTTGACTTGGGGTCTAACCTGCTTCAGAATGTCCCGTTGGTGCGTTATGTGCTGTATACATGTATTCTCATAGATAACAGGGAGGGAGGAGACGAGGGGTCAGGCTGATGAAGGATACATCACTGGGGTTCCTATCTTTAGGCTGGGAGTGACACCCTGTGAAGAGGTTCATTAAGCCCCAAATTGGAATCTTAAACACCCTTCCCCGTGGCAGCAGCATCCCTGCCCCTCCAGCACTGGTACACGAAGGTCACATGCATGATTGACTCGTGTGTTCTATAGCACTGTCCTGGGTGTGCATTTGTTCCATAAGACTTAGCAGATCTGGGGCTGGAGCTAATTGCCCTTGTAACCTGCTTCTTTACAACTGACTCAGAAACACATTTTTAGACTGTTCTCTGCTAACTTGGGTACCACTTGTTTTTGTCCATTTGGGCAGTGGATATGATAAATACAAATACTGCATGCCACATTGATCTGTGGCTTATAACTCAGATGAGCAGTCTAGCAGCCCACCTCCCCTTCTCTGTGATTTGGCAGCATTCAAGTTCCCACTGGTAGGTGGTGTGTACTGAGCAGGGAAGGGGCTACCAGCACAGAGCATCTCAGAGCCTGGGACCTATATACTTTGTTTCTTCAATCCTCAAGACATGAAAGCCCACCCTTGGTTTAGAGAAGTCTGTGGCTTCCCTGGCCTGACTAGCTGCCTGGCCCATGCTTCTTAGGGGGTGGCCCCCGAACAGTGATGGCTGGTGGTAGAAAGAGGCTGTGGACAAAGGTGGCCATTTTTGTAGAATTTTTCTGGCCCAGACTATCCCAGCATCCGGCCGCCTGTCCTCATCCTCACTGTTAGGAGGTGGCCTGGGGCCAGTGAGCAGCAAGTCTATCGTGAGTTCCAGAATCTCTGCAAGTTCGATGTCAGGCGGCTCACTCAGAGCCAGTTCCTGCTCCTGACCAATAAGTTTAAGGAGTAGGTACCTCGTTTCGGTTCGGAGCCCCCCCTCTCCCTTCCCCCTTCCCCCTTCCCCACTGTGTCCTTGCTGTCACTGCTCTGAGCCCAGCTGCAGCAGTCAGGTTGTTTGCTGACCTGGGCAAACTTCTTTTCACAGTGCCCGCAGTGTCTTGAAGGAGTATAGGTGCCACCCAACCCTGCAGGTCTCCCTGTACCGGTACTGGAGACATTCCCCTAACATCACCTGCATGTTACAGTGAGTGACCGAGCGCAAGGCTGCCCTTCTGTCTGTGCAGCCCCCATTTGGTCTGACTCGGACCCCAATTACTGGCTGGTGTTGGTTGTCAAGGAGTTGTTGACAAGTGTATTGAGCCAAAGGTTCAATACATTCCACAAATACCGAGCCTCTGCAGTGTTGGGTCCTGTTGTGGGTTCTGGGGATTCATCAGCGAGCAGAGGGCCCCGTGCTGTGTTGCTCACATGCTAATGGGAGAAAATGAACACAGTGTACATAGTATAGATGAAAGTGTTTATCAAAAGGGAGGAGGGTGGGGGTGACCCAGCCTAGAGGGAAGGTGCCGCTCAAAGGACTTGAAGAGCGGCTCAGTAAGGACTAAGCGAAGCAGTAGCAAGCTAGGCTCTACTACTTCCTTGAGCAGGAGGTACCTCGCGAGTTGAAGGCCACTGATCTTGAACAGAACAAGTAAGGGGCCAGATCCCAGCTCCATAGGGGCAGCACAGGGAGGACTGTGGGCTTCTTTCCTGGAGGTCACCATAGGGGCAGCACAGGGAGGACTGTGGGCTTCTTTCCTGGAGGTCACAGAAATTTGGGAGGAGGAGGGAGAAGAGTCGACTCACATTTGCAAAGTATTGCTTTCTTCTCTGTGGAGCCAAGCTGTAGAGGAGGTGGAGGGCAGGAGCACTAAGAAGCAAGTGAGGCAGCAGGGACAGTGTGCCCATGGCCTGGTTCAGCAGTGATGGGGAGGAGCCAGGACAGACCTGAGGGGGTCAAGTGTGCATTCAAGGTTTAGGGCCTGAGTGACTAGAAAGACGGACTTGCCAGTTACAAGCTTTACAAGGATTCCAGCATGCTTGTTAGAGCAGCTGTAACTACAGTGCACAGCATTGTGAAGGGGAAAACCACTCCTCGGCAGACCGTTGTCCTGCCACCCTCTGAGCTGAATCTCTAGAGGAGGTGGACTGTCTGTGTCCCAGAGCCGTTGACCCTGAGAGGCAGAAGTCCAGTGTTGGTACAGGAAAATTAACGAAAGGCAGGATCTTTGTGTGAACAAAGTTGGGAAGAAATAAAGGCAAGCCTGTGTCGGTTGCTGTCAGCTGCCAGGTCCACAGGCAGACTCTGCCTCATCCAGGGTCCTGACCTGTGTCATTGTCTTACAGAGTCTGCAGCATAGTCACCACCTGGGCCCTTTTCGCATTTCTCCTGGGAAGAGCCAGCCTCTGAGAGCACCCAGTCTCCCTCAGCCTCGTCCTGTGTCCAGTCCTTCCTGGGACAGCCCTCCTGGGTTTTGTTTATATAAATCATACTGTTTGCAGTGAACCTGTTATGTTCCTTACTAGAAATGTGTTATGTTTTGAATGTGAAATTCTGTAAATACTATCAATGATTCCAGAAAAATCCTTACACCTGCTACCTTTGTGTGTGGCTGAAGTTTTCCTTCCTGTAAGCAACAGGGAGAAGTCACAACCTCTGAGGGTTTCAGCCAGTGCTCCAGAGTGTCTAAAACAGTTATGACAGGAGCTGCACACCAGGTGAACAAAAGGCTATGTCACTTCTGGGAGAAAAATAGCCAACGGGCTTTTGGAGTCTTAGGCCTGAGAAGTTGCTCCCAGAGTCATTGTTTTCAGAAAAGCATCAGTGTGGTGACATTTTTGATAGATACCTTAAGCTGTTAAAATGGTCAGTGGTCCTTGTAGGACCCTTGTTTTCCAGGAGGAAGCACCTTAGCACTGGTGACTGTTTCTGTAGTTCGAGACAAAAAGACACTGTGGTGACTTTACCTCTTCTCTGTTCAGTGAATCTTTACTGACAGCCGACTGTGGGTGTCGGGTGCACGGCGCTGCCAGAAGGTTGTGTCCTTTGCAGCACACAACCCACAATGTGTCACTGTTTCCAGTAGGGAAGGCCAGAGGGATGACGGGGGGGAGGCAGGCTGTGTCCTTGGAGGCACTGTAGACCCAAGTGGCAAGCCCAGTCTTGTGCATGAGTTCACCTAGGTGCTGGTGATCTGGACCCAGAGAACATGCTCAGGGATGCAGATGTTGCTTCGTGCCCTGCCAGCTCCTCCCCCTTCCTCATCGTGGAACAAGAGTCTTGCCTGTTGAGCAGGCTCTAGGTCTTCTTGTCATGAACCCACTGAGCTGCTGTTCCCCCACCCCTGTTCTTCACTGCCTCTCACTATGCCTGTCTGTGTTTCCCGTTTGATCATTGTTCTTATCATTAAGTGAATAAAACCCAAAGATCTGAGAAACCACACGCTCTTCCTCCTCAGCCATTTCACCCCTACCCTGGCTCTGGTCCTTCTTCCCTTCCATACAGACACACATTTGGACAAGTGGGCTCTGTCTGCTGCCCACCAATGACCCAGCAAGCTCCTCGGTGCTCTGGGATCCACACCAGTCTGCAAGACACTTCTTATCTCTCTGCTCCTACCTGATGCTCTGACTCTCTGGACATCTCTTCTTTCTCTGATGCTGTCAAACCTTCACGTTTGAAGACTGGGCACTGCCAGGCCTGTGCTTGCACAACTCAACTCCTCTAGCTGGCATCCCTCTCCTGCCCCAGGTGTCCTGTGGAGCCTTCCTGGGTTGTCCTACAGACACCACACAGCAGAAGGAGTGTTTCCCTCCCAAGGTACCTTGAGGGCAGTGAGTGTCCCCACCGGAAGAAACTCCAGCTCCCTGCCCCACCCTGACAGAATTCCATCCTCCTCTCTCCACCCAGCCCTGCTCACTTCCCTGCTGCTGGTCGCCATTCGGGACAGTCCAAGCTGTGCCTGCCTCTTCTCCCTCTTGCTGTGACCCTCACGGACATTAGCAGGACTGGAAGGCAGATCTGGTCAGCCTTTCTATCCAGTCCTGTGGATTCTGCACCATACCACCAAGATTTAATTAAACCTCTCATTAAATAACCTGAACTGTTACTTTGGAATGTAGGGGATGGTGGTCCATTTTGTCGCTGTGCCCTCCTCTAACACCTAGGACTATTGCTGTGTGGGCAAAGAAAGGTGTGTGCATTCCGTCTAGGTTATCCTTTGAAAAGACTAACAAAATGCAGGAAAATGTATCTCAGGGAGGTTTTAAATTTTTTCTCATACTTTCTTACACATGAAGGATTTTTACACTATGACCACATAAATGAGAAACATGCTATTTTGAAAAAAATCCGTACATATAACAAGTATATGAGTGATCACAGTCATATTAAAAAGTTGTATAGCTGCTTTTTTAAATTAACTCGGGGCTTCATGCTTGCTTGCTAGGCAGGTTCTCTACCACAGAGGCCCCCCCATTAGACCTGTTTTGTGTTGGATGTTTTTAAGATGTGCACCTGTGAACTATTTTCCCAGGCTGGCTTTGAACTGCTGTCCTCCTGAGTAGGACTACAGGTGTGAGCCACTATTGCTGGGCTATATACCATTTTTAAGAGGAAAAAGGGCACACAAAATTTATTCTATGCCTAAGCTGTAAGAGTATTAGATGCCACTGTATAACCTTTTATCTTAAAATTTATTTCAGTGGACTTAAAACTGGGAGAAAATGCACTGAACTCTTGCTGGGACTGCACCACTTACATTATTACTTAAAGGGAGTCACAGAAGTGGGAACAGCTTCCTCGTGCAGCTTTGCCCACAGAGGATCTTGCATTTGTGCTTCATGTATTTCCAGGTTTCATGAACTCCTAGGACTTGGTGTCCTGGCATTGCCCCAAGGCCCTCTTCTCCCTGGAATGCCTGATATTCTACATTTATAGCATGGGCCTCCATCCAGTGCCTCATAATCCTGTTTTTACAGAATCCCTTAACCACATCTGTTAAGGGAGATGGTGTGGGCTGTGCTGGTGGCCCTTGTTTCCATCCTGGGTTATCAGGAGCCCTTCCAGCAAGCCACAGGATCCTGGTCCCCTGACACTGTAATTAAGGACTGGGCAGTTAGGATGTTGGAGGAGGAGGAGGAGGTGCTGTGGGAGTCGGTGTTTTCCAGGTCACTTCAGTGGCCACTTGGTAAGCCGTGAAGCAGATTATGTGCACAAGCCCAAATGTCTTGTTCTCCATAACCTCAGGAACTGCATTTCCCACGTGTGTCCAACCTCTCAGAAGTGTACGAAGTGCTGAGCAGGTGAGGAAGGTGTTTGCAGAGCTGCTTCTGGAGTTGGGCCTGTGGCCTCAGCTGCCTGTGTGATGGAGGTCCCTCGGGTGTAAGGGGCTCCACTGCTTGGACTTAAGGCCTCCCCCATCCCCAGCCCAGCTCCTGATGCTTCCTTCCCTGTCTCTGTCTTGGCGCCCTCTGCCAAGAATAAAGTAAGAGTCATGGTGGTGTGAGTGAAGGGGCTTTCGACAAGTTGCTGGCTGAGATGAAGGATGGGGCTACGTGGATGTCTGTGGACAGATAGAGCTCACAACTTCCCATCCTCCACTCACTGATTTACTCCCTTCAACAGGTGCAGAGTGAGCACTCCATGGTGAGGCAGTGACCAGTACTGGGAACAACAAAAAGCAAAACCATCAGGCTCTGTGCCCACAGGAGCAAACTGTCACCGCATTAACACAAAAGTCATTTCAAACTGTGACAAATGCTATGAAGGAAATGCACACAATGCGTGTCACTACACAGAGTGACAGGTCTAATCTAGAGAAGCAGAGTAGCCTTACTGGAAGTGACCCCCATGCTGTGACATGGGACTCCCTGGAAGCCCCCATTTCCTCTAGGTTGTGGGTAAAACCCCAAGTTAGCTCAGTGCCTTGAGGTTTAAAAGCTAGTCTCTCTGTAGTCTCTTTCCTCTGTCTCTCTTTTCCATGTTTCTGTGGACGTGATCTCAACTCTGGGGAGAATAGGGTAGCTTTTGTTCCCACCTAGGGAAGGGGCACCTGGTCCTCTGTCCTTCCACATTGGCCTCTGTTGAGACCATGTGTGTCTCATCTGGTCCTCGTAGACATGCATTGACATCCTTTGCTGACATTCTAAATCCTGGCTAGAGCTTGAGCTCTGCATCATTGGTCCACCAAGGCTGACACATTCCCAGGGAGCCAGGCTAGTTCTGAGCCCATTTCTCCTGAGAGTCACACTCTCACCATGAAGGCTGCCTTTCTCAGGTGACATGTCTGCTGGTGTTAGCTGAAGCCCTGGGGAGGTGGGGACAGAAGGAATGGAGGACCAAGCTAATGTTAGCCCCTCTAGCCTGGCCCAGTGACACCCCCCCTTCCCCTGTCCCTCTTGAGAGATACTGAGTGATGTCCAGTGTCACAGGTCTCTGGGGAGTGCCTCATATCCTATGTGGCCTTTTGCTCTTTCATAAATCCATAGAACCAAATCACTGCCTCTGAGTCCCACAGGTGGTTTCTGTTTTCCTGATGGAGCTGCCTGATGCAAGGGTGGCAGAACTCAGGGTGCCTCAGCCCCCCCAACAGGTCCTCCACAGGGTTCCCCTGTGACTGTGAGTCTGGCTGTGGTACCTGCATTCAGAAACCTACACCACTCCCCATGAAGCTCTCAGGAACCTTTCAGCTCTGGGGTCCCACAATCCATCTGAGGTTCTTTTCTGTAGTCCCCCTCCCACCCCTGGGGCCCATGGCCTGCCAGTACTGGATTCCCACCAGCCCCGCTACTCAAAGACTTATCTCTGTTTAGATGGAAAATTGCTCCTTTATCATTGTGTGTTTCTTCTATCCATGACTCCCCTAGTAAACGCTGCAGAATCTAGAAGGCTCTGCCATGCCAAGTTTTCAGAATGATGAAAAAAATAAAATGAAACCGCTCTCAAGAGGCAGCTTCTACAAATCAAGAGCGCCTTGGCTTCCATACAGCTGCCTCTGCTCTGTCTTTCTACACTCTGCATAAATTAAGCTCAGAAGCCAAGAATTTGACCTTTTGGTCAGGCCTGTGGCCTACCTTCCCCTGGGACAATTTAACTCCCTGACTTGGATGGATGGAGGCCCATGACAGAATGCAGGGAGCCTCATCAGTTTAGAAGTCTCCTCAGTCTCCTCTGTTACATTATTAGCACCATTTTACAAATAAGGAATCAGAAAAATTTTCATTTCTTGCCAACCAACTACTGACAAATCAATATAAAAATTCTTAAAGTTTCAGTAAACTATATTGGCAAGTGATTAGCCAAGACCAGCCACCCCAGGGCATGGGGATTGTGAGGGGACCTTGTTCAGACTGATGAGGGGTCAGGGGCTCTTTACTTCTTCCCCCTCAGCACTCTTACAGGGAGAGAGGCCTGAAGTGGGGGGCATTCGTCAGGCTTGAGC